AAGAGAGTTGAATTTTAATGCCAACCTAAAGCAAAACTTCCCAGCTCTATATATATGCGTGGCATCTGCGCCCTAGGCTTTAAGGGGCATTTTTATTTAAATTTAAAAAAAAACGTCAGGACATATACCAACCCAATACATCGTTGAGCTGACAAGAAATTGAAAACTTAGAGCCTTTTTTTTATTTAAATAGACTGCAAGGAAGGCCTCCCGTTGACTACGTGGCCATGCTCGCGGTTCATCGTTTCCAGTACATAGTTTGATTCATATGTAAAAGCCTAAATATTCGAAGGAGAGAAAGATGTAGCTAGTCACCCGGGGCACCAGCGCCCTCGCATCCTCTCTGAATATCCCACGCATCGGTGTCTTTGTCAAGTGAAAAATTGTCTAACTGAAGTGAAAAACACTGTAGCAGCTAATATTATTTTTCGTAAGTCAAAAGCAGTAGGCCGCACACAATAGTATCAATTGGCACCTTGGCTTAAGGTGGCTGTGGGTAATTTCGAATATTTGTCCATATTTTGTTGACTTCAAAGGTGGCAACCCTAGCTTGGAAGACCAGGAATTAATCCTTATAGGCCTAATTGGTCCAGTAACTCGAGGATTGAGTTTCTTTTGAACGAAAAAAGGTAGGCCTAGGCCTGACCCGAAGACAGTCCGTCGGTTAGGCCTAGACCTAAAGTTAGTGAGTTCCGGAGAGAAAAGAGGAGTGGAGACGGGGGGAGGTGAGGTTAGGGTTGAAGAAAGGTAAAGCCATGGAGAAATGGTTTTCACATTGCAACATCATATTTTTTATCACACCCGAACCTATTACCTCCTGAAGGTGAGCCAGATTCAGCCTGTCACTCCCTGATCCCACAGAAATAGCGTCCACATAGTCGTCATCTCTCATTAGTTGTGGGAAGCTTTTTGTTCAAATAACAGATGTCGTACACTGAGACATGAAAAATGTTGACTGTCGCCCTAGCGCAGGTGTGGGGCCTACATGGGAGGCCCATTGCGATGTGGGCCCAACGTTGTGTGCTACCTGGGTATGTCAGATCAGATAATGATAGGCGAATCCTAATAAATAGGGACATCATAGCACCTCATGAGCATCATTCTCTGAAAGCTGTGTATAGGCATGGTTCAATGCCTTGCATGCGAGACACTTAACAATGTTCAGAAATAACCAACAGCACATAATTTTTCGACTAAGAAAGTTTGCCTCTTGGAGATTCGATATCAAAATGGAGAACCTTGCGACTGCTGGAATTTGCCACACGTCTGAAGCTCTGCATGGCAGAAGAAAAAATAAGCTTCAAGACTTGGAAACACTGTCCGTAAGTGAAAGAAGTTGTAGCAGAAACAACAAAACTTCCCTTGGATTTTTGCATGAGCACGGAGACCGAGAGCTCTGAGGCGAGAGCCGTCACAGAAGCATCACATTCCTACAAATCCTTTCACGTGGAGCATGATATAGTGGTACTGAATGTTCTCTGTTCCACGTGAATGTTTCCTGGACGAGGATTACCTACTAAAATTTTGTTTTCATCGGGACTCGAAGCATCCAACTTAACGACTCAAGAGATTGGGCCATCTCATATCTCTGGGCGACATGAAGATCTTTCACTCGACTTCATTTTTTGAGGAAGGTCTGTCAACTTTGCTTTGCTACGTACTGGGTCCCCGGAATTCAATCTCAGTACCCTCAGAAAATCAGAAAATTTTCCAATTTTTGTGAATGGGTAATGAAGGAAGATACATAGGAAGGAAGATACTTTTAAGCCCCTCGAGAACCACTTTTTGCCCGGGGGCCACGTGTTGGGCACCACTGGTGTAGATAGGCCAGTTTATCTTTAGCATACTTCCCAAAAAACTACCATTTTCAATGAAAGGAAGGTTTTATGAGCGGTAAACCAGCTATACCTTTTTCAGACATTTTTGCGGATAGACCACTTTCCTCTCAGCCCTTCGAGTCTAATCGAAATAAAGTTCGGGCTTCGTGAGGAGTCTTGTACCGAGCGTTTCGGCACCATTTCTCAATCTCCCCGTTCTCATTAGGAGACTCCAGCGAGGGAATAAAGTGAGAAAAAATCTCCCGAAGTTTTCGACATAACGGATCTCGAAAGCGGAATGGCTAAGAAAAGAGTATGCATTGATTATGGTGTTTAAATGGACCATTTCGGTTCCTTTACTAGAGTATGAGCTGAAGAGGACCGCTAGTTCTAGGAAAGAAGTTTCGAGAAGCGGGGAGGGGGAAGGGGGGGAAGGGGGAAAGGAGGGAGGGGGAGGGAAGTCCGTCCCAAATAGAGCTAAAGAAGCGTCTCTAGTGTAATTTATCTCGACCGGATAATTAAGAAGTTCATGAAAGGCGGAGAAGAAAGAGCAAGAAGTGAGTGGAGAAGGTTTATCTTATTTTAGACCAACTTCTAATAAGTCTGGATTCAGTTCCCTGGGGGATATCAATTTGTTTCTCGTTTGTGCAATATAGTCAGTGTTTTAAATGGGATCGATCCAACCGCGCTTGTTTACCGAGCAACCTGAGTCTCGGGCCAATCCGCTGCAAAAGCGCGTTCCGTAAGTCCTTTTGGACGGCCCTCCTGGGATTTAAATCTGGTTGGCTGCAGTTAGGACCGTGTCGGGGCTGCCACCTATCCGCAAAGCAAAATTTTCACATTTTCCCTGTCATCCCCTAGAGTGCGGCATAGGGCGAAGGAAACGCGGGAGAACTGTAACTCCAATGCTGGTAGTTCGCTATTTCGCTCATCTCGAAGTTCGATGCTGGGTCCCGGTAGAATTACGTAGACACTGTGTTAAAAATTCTCTTTTATTTGAATTTACTTATCTCAAATTTCCTGATATCTGTAACCTTTTTTGTCTCCTCCAATCGATATTCTCTCACAGTAAACTCGAAGTGGAAATTGTGGGCTGTGAAAAAAAAAGTAGGGACTCATTAATTTTTTTATTGAGTGAAAAGAAAAGAAACCTACTCAGACGAACTTCATCTTCTTTGTTTTCTTCCCTCCCATGATGCTTACGAAAGGGAAAAATGGTTATTAGAGACGAGAATATACTGCGATAAGAGTGATGGAACAATCGGCACATTCCCTGTCAGTCTCTTGCTCTCATTTGGAGCCTGTCCTGTCAAAACCCGGTTTTTCCGTTGCATTGGTGTTGAAATGACCCCTCTCAACCCACTCCAGAGGTAACTGAAAACTGGTGCTCGACCAGAAGAAGCACGAACGCTATAATCGAAAGCTCAGAATGAAAAAATCGCCTTCTGCTTTTTTCATCTTAACCGAGAATCATTTTTTATTTTCGAGGATTAAAGCCAATTCCTGATAAGTCAGCCAGCTCGAAACGATTTGCTCCGGTCTCGTGAAGTTTGAGTGAACAAGTTTTCCCTGTAAGCCACAACACGGGGAGAGAACGGGCGTATGGAGTTCTCTCTGCCTTGAGCACTGAAGACGAACGACCATGTCCAGAATGCACCATGTGAAGATCAGCTCTTCTAGTCTAGTAATGTCGTCGACTTCACACTTCTCCTGCCTTTACATATAGAAGGATTTGCGATGAGAAAATGGATGGGCAAGGCGATCGCCATCTGAACCATTCTTGTAGAATCACCAATCGACAACTCTTGGAGTTTCATTCGCCAGTTGCAACCAAGATCGTTGATGTCTCGATTCTGTTCTCATTTAAAAAAAATTAAAACCAATAGGTTACTTATATTTGTGTTTCGATATTTTGCATAGGATCTTGTAGCATCGGATAAGTGATAGCTGTTAACGTTTCGAGGTCGTAGAATGAATTGTCATTGGGAAAACTTGTCAGAATCCCAATTAAATCGACAGTATTGCTGCACATGGAGAGCATACGAGCTGCTCTCATTGGTGTCGAGCAGATTAGTAACAATGTGGTAGTAATTCATGTCTTTCTTAATCGAACTCGGTCAAACTGAACATATTGACGAGAAGTCGTGGAGGGTGTTACCTCAACGGCTTTAAAAATGCACTCAGAAAATCAGAAGTAAAATCTTTTGAATGGAATTTCCCCACCATCCCCTTCCTCTCGCCCTGTCAGTTGGAGATTTCTCTGTACTGAATCCCCTTTGAAACGTGAAACAAATTCTTTGCACATTACTGCGAGTTTCTAAGCCAAATTTCGTGGCTGCATTCCTACTTCTATTCTTCTGCTTCTTTTTTGGCGAGGTGTATCCGCAGCTTTTGCAGTCCGCAGTTTTTGCGGACTCTACACGCCTCCAATATTCAACTGTTCCGATGAGGTGTCTAACGTTGATTCCCTTTTCAAGAAACTTAAGGAAAATTCCTCTCCCTTGAAGAGGACAGGAGAATTTCTCATAGCCATCGGAACTTTTATACAACTTTTATGAAACAGAATAATTCAAATTTACCAGAGATGTCACTGAATGCTGCTTCTCAAAAGCACGTACAGCTTCTTCTTTTGAGGAAGTAGCTATGAAGAGCCAAGTTCAAATTTTCTCTTCCGCTTACCATCTACGAACCGTCACAATTGTTGAAGGCGAAATAATTAGATATAACAGATGATAGGACAATAGAAGAGAATGCAAGAAGATAGAGTGACGCTTTGTGTGAGGATGCCTGGTGGTTGCCCCTATGGAAGGACGGCCACGGATTTCACTCTATTCGTGCTTAAAATTTCTAAAATAATAAAACTGTTACTGCATGAATTTTCGCAAGCCAAATGCATGTCAAGTTGATCGTGTTTGCTAATTGCAAACTTTGAAGCAGTAGTATTCCCACAAACAATAACGAAATCCTCGTTGGCATGCATGTATCCTGGCGATTGCATAAAGCGCTTCATTTTTCCTTCAGAGAAAGACTCGTTGAAAGGAGATATTGAGTGTGATAGTATTTTGAACTTGATAACTCTATGCACTAAAGTTTCATTTCGCTCATATGACCATCTGGAAACAAGTCAATTTCATAATTCAGCATCAAGAAGTCATTTCTGCTGGTGAAATGGAATTCTCTTAGCACCGGTTGGGAGGGATACAATGAATACATTTATTATATCATCATTTTGGAACTGAAAAATATAATCATCTCTCAATTCTTCGCTCTCTGGAAACATATATTAGATATAATGTCCCATAGGTCAATCATTCTGAGCACTGAGGAGCAGGCAATGAATTGATGCAATGATAGTAGGGGAAATTCCTGCTTGCAAATACCTAAATGCAGAATGTATAGGCAAGAGTCTTGGAAAAGTACATCTAAACAATTTTGTGCTTCCAATTTGGTCTTAATTGTTCAACAACAAAAAAGTCACATGAAAGTTTTTCCCCTCTGAGGATTCTCTCATATATCTCATTCTCACTGTTGCGAAATAATAATTGCTTCTCCCAGGGAACGAGCCTGAAAAGAGTGTAAAATACTGCTAGAATGATCAATCGAGGGACTCTCAGATTCATCAAAACTCTCATTATCACGTCAGCCTCATCTATATCTTCCTCTTATGTCTGCAGAATCACTTTCGATAGAAGGAAAATAGTCATATTGAGAATATCCAGCAGAGCTGAAGAGTGGATGAGATGTTCAGTCGCCGTGGATAGATGAACATGAGTCGATTTATTCGAGGGTGGAAGCATCCTCAGGGATGTTTCGAAGAGGGTAGGTTCTCCAGTAGGAGAGAGGAGGTCCTACGCTCACGCATTTCTTCTGCTTCAGCGATCTCTTCCCGTCCACCCAGTACATCAAGTAGAAGTTGCACATTTCGTGCTCATTCGTCGGCCTGCCGACAAACAAAGCATACAGGAGACGATGATGCAGTGCAAAAAGAACTCCCTTTTCAGCATCTACATCTCACAAGACTTTCAACACCCTTCAGAAAAAAGGCACAGTAAGCCTTGGAAACAAGACAGAGGAAATAATATTGAGTACTTTTCATACAAGTAGAGTCTCAATAGGAGTTCAAACAAAAAGAAAGATATCATTATGCTCTGAAAAAAAATTGCTGGATCAAAAATGTCTGACAGTTGCGACTCACGCAAGTGTACTTTTACTTCATCTGATTTGAAATGGGATCCTGAAATGCAAAATATTAATAGCAGTTACAGCAATATCTTCTGAGGTTTCTCATTTTGGGTGTGATGGGGTCTGGGTACTCGTTAACTAGTAGGTCATTAGTGCTGGCAAGAATCCAAACCAAAAATGGCGCGGAACAGTCAATCTTTCTAGAATATTATGGAAATCTTTTATATTTCTCTTGCACAGTCAACATCCGCAGTCACAATTCCCCATTCTCACAGATGGGAAAGTGGAGGTCGTGAAATGAGAATCTAGGCATGACGCTGTTAAGTAGGATATTCCTAATGAGCTTCTTTCAAGCCTGCCGAGGCTGGAAGAGCTCCTGCTATCGCAGCACCTCTCTAGGATGCTTTCCTTCTCTTGTACGGTACATTCAGATTTTTCATTAACATGTGACCAGGCAGATGTCGAGAATCCCGGATGTCTTCGCTCAGGGTTTTGGTGGGACGTCCTACAAGAACCATCCTGGTGTTCTTTACATTTTTCTTATTCAATTCTTGGCGTTCCATGGGCGTAGGACAGCTTCTTTCAGCAAGCTCCTTTCCGCAGTCAATGTCTTTAGATTTGTTGGAGAGAGGTCCATCTTAAAGGATTTCATGGCATATATCGCAATTGGCTATCTTGATTTTGCAAAATATTAACAACGCAACTAGAACAACTTGTGAATGCCTTGTTGGTTACTTGTGGCAATTCATCTTCGTGACGTGCTTTGAGAGCTCTCTGGTTGCCAGGTTGACCACCTCCTAACACTCCTAAAAATTAACAGCACTGAGGGCCTTGCCACTGAATGAAAGGAGTGTGTTCATAGAATTGTCCTCCTTTCATAAGTTCAACGTGAAGATCACATCATCTGCATACGTGATAGTCTTCAATATTGGACGCGCTGTTCGCATGACCTCAGGGAAGTCTACTATAAAGAGCGAAAAAAATGGACGCAGTCAACCCGAACATCGTCTCGCTTCTGGTGAAGTGCTTCGACTTGTAATAAGTTGGCATGAATAGCAATTAAGACGTCCCGTAGTTTTGAGTAGTTCAGAGCTGCTAGAGGACGGTGCCTCTCAAACCAAAACGGATCAGTTTCCTTCTGTCCATTAGCTATCTTTTACTTTTGATTCAGCATTAAGGGTCACAATTGCTTGGAAGCAAATCTGGCGACTTCAGCACAAATTTATGGCACAACTTCCCAGCAAGCTGAGGAAGGACTTTGAATTACCAAGATTAAGTCAATCCTGCCGAACTACTTCAATACTGAGCTACTTCAACAATCCAAGAAGTAATTTAGTTTTTTTTCGCGAATTTTGACTTGATACACATGCCAATGAGGGAGTTCTCCGTACGATCAATAACTCCAAATGAGTGAAATTCTTTTTGGCTCATGGGCTGACACCACACTTTGACACACTTGTTTTCAAGTTCGAATTTTTCCCCTTGGAAACTTCACTTCGTTTTTGTGCTATCACTTGACTTCTCATCACAACGACGCGAGGTCGGTCTCATTGGAAACGTGAGGAGCTTTTCAGTTGCCTTCGAAGCTGCAGGAATAGTTCAGGAATGTCAGGAAAAGCAACGCAGTGAACACATCTAAGCTCGTGAGAATATCTCACGGTATCTTCATACGGTATGCGATTTTGCCATAGCTAACCCAGCACCAATGCACTCTTGATCAGTGAGAAGGATTTTTAAAATGAAGATCTTCATCGAGCATCCTATTATGCAATGCAGACGCACTTTCGAAGGGTCTCTTGCTTTTTTTCATGAACATTAACGTCATGAGAAGGTATCATTCCTTGACACCATCTGCAAAGGTTAGACCCTTCCTTCCTGCCGGTCACGAATGAAATTTTGAAATAATAATCAAGAAATCAGAATCTGAACCGGCAGATTTGAATAACGACACCCAAGAATGCCCCACATGCAGCTTAATAACTAATGCTTACGATTGAAATTCGCTATACAAACGTGAATTTATCAAGCTGAATCATTTTTCATGAAGGATGAATCATGTTATTACCCTGCTAATCAATTTTTAATTACGGTTGCAACAGCAAAGGATCGTATTATCTATTGTATCTCTTTTCACAGCAAATTCTCAACCTGACTGTCAAAGAAGCCTAAGACATCTTAAAAAAAAAATTAATTGAGAAAGCTTAATGGAGACACGAACCCGACTGTGGTGAATCTCCAACGGTTGCTCTTCATTGTGCATCTGGATGCCTGCAAAAGACGTATGGAATGACTATGATTCCGTAATCATAATCACGCTCTGCATTTATAAGCGTATCATTCAAATCTGTCATATGGTACCATGCCATATCAGATCATACAACTACTCATAAATATTCGAGGAGGGGGAGAGGGGAAAACCGTCCTTTTAGATGTCTCTACCTCCTCCAATTACAGGAAAGCTTCCTAGTAGGCACAACCACGTTCTCGAATTCTTGCCACTAATAAGCTATAGGACTACCTCTCCCGCTTCCTCGAGAACTCGCGCTGACGATCGAATTGAAAAAATGTAACGTACGACAATGTCGCCTGGTTGAATGGTCATGCTGTTGAATACGGGGTAGAACATTTGAGGGAGCTGAGGATCCCTCTTTCCGATCAAGGTCCATTCATCTTGGCCATGGACCTCTCGAACCCGGTAGCCGGACACCGCTTGCCCTGCACACAGACCATCATCAGACCAGCTCTTCAAAAAACAAAGAGACTCTCTAGTTTTTTTAGAATGAGAAGGCAAACAGTACCAAGCGAGTGGGTGTGAGTACGGAATGCGAACGGGTGAATAACAATGTCGTCCTTGATTTCACAAGCCACCTCCATGTGCGTGGTGGATTTCGGCGGGATCACGCCTCCTGTAGCCATCAATAACACCCCTGCTGTCTTCCCCTGACTGCAAATCCAATTCAGTCCATAGAGGCATGAGGTTCATCAAGGCCAAATCTTGCAGAAATATTGGAAAGAAAACGTAAGTACTAGTTCAATTACAACTCGCGGGGTACTAAAACTTGCCTCGCTAATTGCTCAAGGACTAAAAAAATGTAGAGGCTAGAGACAAGATAAAAATATCGCGAGCACATATTACAAACAGGCGGCTTATTTCGGCTTTTCATGTACACAAGTGAACTCATTGCTCAATTATCCCTACTTATAAACTATAGTCACTCCCGAATGTAAAAGAATCAGAGCATTGAAAGAGAAAGTCACATCGTGAAAACATTTTTCCACGTTACGCCATTCGAATGCAACGTTGTAGCTGGGGGATGAGGGAGAGGCGAAAGGGAATCAAAACGGAGACGAGAGCACAGAATAACAATTTCGACTTTCCCCCTAATTGAGACTTTTCTTCCCAAAACGCCTTCCCTGCACCGCCTTTTATAAGGTAAATGTCTAAGGGTTTTGTGGTTTTTGTGCATCTCCCAAGTGTGACAGAATTTTAATAAACAGCAGGTTTATTACTCGCGTTTCCATCTTGATCTATTTCATTTTTTGTTTACATTTCCTTCTTTTTGGTTTTTTGGGACAAATGTTAAATAAAAACTGAAAGGAGAACTGGCCGTGCCATGGGAAGCATGGCTGCATTCACACGAGGGTTCTAGAGCGTGACAATTACGCGGTTAAGGCAGCTTCCTTTCATTTCTTATTATGGGCTTCTTCCGAAAAAAAGGTTTCTTTGTCTCCAATATTTCTCGATTTGGAGCTGCTACATAACTATGCGATCTTCTACGGGATCAAGGCTTCCCAATTATTAATCTATAATTTATGATAAGCAAGAACATCATGAAATCGGCAGAAAGTCTGAAAGTCAGCAACAAGACGTTTGAAACAAGTATTTTCTCATTCAAAGATGAAGAAAAGAAGCTTAAATTTAGTCCGATAAAACTGAACTTTTAAATCAAGCCTTAGTATGTACTCGGCGACATCTCACAGACAATTATCGGAATGTCCGTTGTGTAATCAACACAATAATAATATTGTAATGATGATAAACTAACATAGCCTTAAAATGATATTTAAATTACGAAGTTACCTGATGAGTTGAGGCAAATGGTAATGGAGGGGGGGGGGGGTTAGACCAGCTCACTTTTTCATCCTCTCCGAACAGGGGGGTATCTGTAATGTTTGTCTGAGGAGATATTGACGCAAATATGCGAGTTGCCTTGATAGCATGCGTATGGAAACCAAAAAGCGTACAACTGACGAAGGATTCGACTTTCACGTGCGCGAATGCTTCATGTGAATCAGACTTTCATACGCGATGAAGGATTAGAGAACAACAAAGGGAAGGCTGCGTTCCCCTTCCCTGAAAAACTAAATTGAATTATTATGGCACCGGGGGAAAAAAAAACCTGGCCTCAGGGGTTGAGGTCGAATTCTCCAGTCATCTCAATGGGAAATGAAAAAAAAAAAACAAACAAACTAGCAACAGTGCCTGACGCTTAGTTTCCCCTGCTCGAACTATGCATCACGCGGATACCCTCCCTCTATTAGAGAAGTTAAAACGCTCTTTATGATACGTTACCCATTAACTTGAGACCTAAATGATCGAATTCAACAGATTTTGACAGCGAATCTAAAATTTTTTACGTAATATCCTTAAATTTTGACATGAAGTTATCGTGAATTGAGAACCTCTCGAAAGTGAACCAATACCAGAAACGTTGCAAGCTTCAATTGGTAATATTTTAATTTCCCCTTTGAATATTGGGAACCCGTTACAATGGATTGCTGTCTTCTAGTAAAGGATACCAGTGTACCGTGCAGTTGCTTGCAATGAGCCAGAGGAAGAGAGAGGGAGGAGAAAATTGGATAAGAAGCGCCAGGCGAATCAGAAAACAGTCGTGACAGACACAGTGCCCTGCTTTCAAAATGATGTTTCACTTGCGTGTGGAATTAACCAGAGGGGATGGCCGTGACTGGTAAGGGAGGCCTGGTCCAACCCGTATTATTAATACGCAGTAATGGGTTGAAACGTAACAAAAGAAGGGATGCTTGTCCGCATGACGCACCGGACGAGTCGTCTCACCCTGAATACTTTTCTGAGCTCCTCAAGGCAAACGAGTTCATCAACGCTGTCGTTACGCAATAAGAACCTGAAGCTACCATAGAATATTTACTTTCATTTTTTTAACGATGAAAGGTCGCACCTATCCTTCGAACGGATTTATTTCCGGAGACTGGAAAGATCCGTGCTGATATTTCCCATAGATATTGATTATGAAGCAAGAAGCGATCGACATAATTAGAATTAGAATTCCCGAGAGCCCGATTCTTCTAGATTCAGTCTTAATCAAATGTTGCAGAATTTAAATCTTAAAATAACGAAACAGGCAACAATGTTCTGGTCGTCCTCATACCGTCAAATTCGCCAGTTCAGACGCTTTGTTTCTGTACCGAGTGTTTGTAGTAATGAGAAAAAGGCGAGTAACTAACAATTTCGGGTCTGCGTCTTTAAAAAGGCTCTTGTCGTTTGGGCCTTGGGATTTAAAAATTGTCAATTTTTTTACGGGCACAAATATTTTCTGATTTTCATTGACCTTTTCATTTGCAGGTCTTTCTTTTCTCTTTCACTTATAATTTTTTCCAACTCTGCATCTACTGAATAGCCATTATAAAAGCATTTTGGTTCAAGGAACGCTTTTGAATCTGTAAAAAGTCATACAACTTCTTTGTTCCGACAACAAAAATAACTAAAAATCTTAAACCTGTCACAATACATCTATATGATCAACTTATCAAAATAATGACAGAATATTTTTTTAGGAAGATCAATCATGATTCATGACTCATGAATCACATTTCGTTTGTTTTTCAAGAGTAGTTCGTGGTAGAGCTCTGAAGAGTGTAGTGTAAATCAAATGGATCCGAAGGGCTGTGCCCGTAAAGAGCAAGGGCATTGGCCTAAATGTGCTAATATCAGCGGTAGATCCAATGCATAAAAACACCAATAATTCATTGAACTGCAAGCATTATGAACACAATGAATGAGGAGTGGATTTTCTTACGGTCGATTGGTGTAGTGCAGGAATACTCCGGAGTCATCGGTAGAACCATCTGAAAAATATATGGTCAAGGTCAAAGGATCCATTACTCTGCCCATCTGTCTTACACTTCAGTCTGGCTTCCCAGTAGAACCACTTTTTTGTTCCGGACACGGATAGCAACAGCCTAGGATAGGCTTGGCAGTGACCTCAAATTCTCCTTTCCCTCGCGGTACTCAAACGATTATGAAAAGAATAAGCGGAATTCCATTCATGAGATGATTGTGTACCTCTGAACTTCTCCACACTGGCGTAGTGGACCTGGAGGACGAGATAGGAAGTTTCGGTGTGTCCTCCGACAGGGAATCCGACGTCTTTGGGTAATTCCAATGGAGGGGCATCCATGGCCCAAGCATAGATGACACTTGCACCCGATGCACATGGTGATGCTTGCTCCAGGCCGGGCTGCTTCGCTGTCATCTCGCCACAGTTCCTGTCGAATCACACAGCATTACTACTTTCAGTATTTTCCGTATTCCCAAGAGCTAAAAGAAATGAATGAGACTGTGATCGTATCGGAATGAATTCACTCGAAAAACCAGATATGAAAGCCGCATTCTCAGAAGAAAATATCGTACTGAAGCATGCAAAACAATAGAGCTATGATTACTATTATAGAGGAAACGTCAGAAGCAGCACAAGATTCAAGTTCACATTGAGAATAGAACAGCCTAATCCATTCCCCTAGACGTTTAGTGTCGTTTCAGTTGAAACCATACTTGTTTTTAAAAAAATAATGTACTGACATATTATGTCAGTAGGTCAGACATATTATGACATATTATCTGACAAGATACTAAAGCTCCAAACAGTATGCGGGCAGTTGAAGTTTCGAATAGTTTTCATGTGATTTTCATTGGCATGATAATTTTCAGCCGAAAATTTAGAGATATCCATCATTGGATGGATGAATATTTTCATGTAATCGAAACAAGGCTGGGATTTTCGGGGATCCAATCCCTGAAAATCCCAGCCTTGTTTCTAATCTAATCATATGAGAATCGTCAGCCTTCCTCAGCGGGAATTAAATTCAAGTGGAGGGAGAACCTAAGTGATGTCGGTACCTAGAAATTTTGAAACGACTATAAGACTTAGGTCGAATTAATCGCTCTTCCGGACTTTTTATATTACCAAATAAATAAAGTAGTGAAAGAGACGAAACGAGAGAACAGACCAGACGGCTTCATTTGAGCCAGGCCTGCTGCAACCATAGATAAGCATATGATGAGCTGTTTGCATGGTAGCATTCGGCACGAATCCAGCTGGAATACAAAAAGAAGAAAGTTGACACTCGTTCGTGCTTTAATTCTCCAACAGCTGACACTTTCTCCTCCACTCACTTATATAGAAGACCTTGTTGTTGTCGATTCGGATCGGTGTGCACAGATACGTCTCCGCCTAGAAAAATGCGAAATAGATGTAAGTAATCATAGGTTGTGGCGTGTAATGATTACACGACAGTAAGCTGCAGTCTCATGGAAAGCAATTTCATAATGGGTGAATGTGTTGGCATTCTCGGTGGTGAAAACTTTCGATTCTTGAATGCCGTGACCTAGAGGAAGTTCGTTTTCTGACATAAATAAGAGAAGTTGAGCGAGGGAAGGAGAAGAAAGGATGAGCTCCACGCTAGTTGAATATGAGATACACGAGATGGAAGCAGAGAGATGAGAATGCGGCACGCATGAGATGCGTGGGACAGATATCGGAAGAGGGACGTGACGATGCCCCCGGGCATGTCCGTGACCGTGAAATGGACAGGGGGTAGAGGGGGGGGCATTCACTTCAGTTCTCGTAACGGCCACGTCATGCAGGGCTGGGCCCGGCTGGGCCTCTTCCACTGCTTTGCAGTCACGCCTCCAGACTATTTCGACCTTTATATTCGCTTCCCATTCGATTCTCAAGGTTCTCATCTCGTCGATGCAGTCTGCAGCTTGCTCTCCCATCGATCCGGGCGCAAATCAGGCATTTATTTGTGATAGCGTCTTAAAGAGTCGCACAAACTTATCTTCATCTTTCAAAACCGGTGATACTCAGCTACGAGGTGTTGATTGATCGCGAAAAAAGAACGATTATTTTCCGTTTGTCTTCCCCACTGGATAATCAGAGATAATCAGAGATGAGCTAAACGTGAATGAGCTGGCAAGAAAACTTCCTATCGAAATAATTACTCAAGATGGAATCCCAATTACCGATATGAGTGGTCAAGATGCAGACCCTTCAAGGCCACCTGGGGAGAAAAGTTCAGACACACTACGTTCTTTCGATTAAAATCCCGCCGGAGCTCATGAGTGAAAAGCGAACGAGGAGTAAATAGTTTTTCGTTTCGGCGAAGTGTAAAACTACTCTATCTTTCGGCAAAGGGAATGCAGCACGGCATAAAAGTCAGAGTGCTCCACCCCATGGAGCTTCATGGATGGCAAAGGGCATGAACTTCAAGTCATTTGACCGTGATTGACCTTCGTTAAGAAGGTCACAAATCCCGCCATATGTCGAGCTTGGCCGATCGGATGGGAGGAGAGAATAAAATAAAATGGAGATCTCACCTTGAGAGGACGAACGTGGGGCATGAGGAGAGGGAAACTCCCCGTTTCCACCTCCTGGCCATGTCCGAAGAAAACAATAGAAACTAGGAAGAAGAAGATTTGGCGATTTAGCAACGGAGCGGCGAGAAGCGGTGCTGACGGTTCGGCTGCCATCTTGAGACTGCGGGCATCGATTGTCCCGGTCCCAGGGATTGAGTCTGTGACGTCAGTGTGACGTCAAGCCTAACGGGATGTTCTCGTCCTCCCCCTCCCTCCTTCCCTTCTCTCACGTGGCCATCTATTGGCCTACGTGACGATCGCAGGAGGAAAATAAACGAGATCACGTTCCCACCTCTCCTCTTCTTCCTCTTGGGAAGGGCATTGATGAAGCCCAGCTTTGTTGAGTTCCACTTTTCCTTGAAGAACGGAAATCGTGACTTCAGTCATGTCCTCCACGATGTCAATCTAGAATTGGTATATACGTTTCGTGAGCATGGACCATGACGAATCTCGGTGTTTTTTGCGAGGACGGACTTAGACTCGCACAGGTGTATCTTTAGGTCAACTTATGTGAGAAGGAAAAGACCGAAGCTATTGAATACTTGCCACTCCCACTTTACCTCATCCCCTGCCCCGAGTGCCTTCGGAAGCACTCGGTCTCGATGAGGAAATCGAGGGGAAAAGAAAAACACTAACATTATCGTATCCCGCATTCCCGGCCGCCTTCGATACTAGCGATTCTCTACCGATCGGTGACCCATCGATGTGTACAAGGCTATAAATATGGGGTCTGCAGAAAAAAACCGTATGCAGGCATAAATGCTGATGAGGTATTCTTCGGTTCGACGCAGCGCGTTCGAGGGTCTGCCTCTCAGGAAATTCATTACACGAGTGACGACTCGTCTCCAGAATCCTTACCCTAGAAGGAGGACTCAGGGGAGGGAGGGGAAGGGGGAGGGAGGACCGGGAGGGGGGGGGGGCGGGGTCAATGTCTCCATGATTCATGCAAGCATTTTGTTTTCGAACTTGGGAGTGTATAGCTTCTGTGAGGATCCATGACATGCTAGAAGGATTAGAGGAGGCTTGTTTCCCTCGTTGACCTCTTTTTCCTTCCCCTCTCGACTCCCTGTCCCCCTTCCCCTCCTTCCCCCTCCCATCTCCTTCTTGCCCCCCCCCCCCCTGCCCCTCTTACATGAAAATTCAGGATCTGCCTTTGCTTACGGTACTTACAGTACCGTCGGACTGTGGCAGATGCAAACATTTACATTTTTAATGGGGGGGGGGGGCGATTCCCTAGTTACTACCCCCCCTCCCCCTCCCCCTGCATCCGCCCACTGCCGTTGGATTTCTTTTTATGTATTAAACAGCCTTGGTATCCGAAAACTGGATTTCCCATTATAATTTTTATGTGCATATATTTACGTATGGACGAAGAGAGCTGTCAAAATCAGCAACAAAATGTATGTGGGTATGAGCTTATTCTGCAAATACCGCTTATGTCTTTCTAGTCGTTAGTACTGCAGTTTTTTAAATATAAGGATGGATTTTCAATGCAAATATAACGAACATCCAAAAGTGTATGCCATTAGATATAAATTTACAGCTCTCGAAGTTCGACCGTTTTGGCTGCTGCCGAAGGCACATACTCATATTTATTTTATTTTTTTATATTGCGAATGTGGTTTCCATCTCCCCGTGCCGAGACAGACGGCCGACGACGACTGTTCGGTTCGAGCAGCTGCGAGTGCGAAATCGCTTTTCCGATGCATCTTGAGCACTCGCATCGCCGGTGCAAGGGTTCTACAAGGGCAGCGATGCAATGCCGACCTCGATTTTGCTTCTTCTTCCTTGCCCGAATTGTTAATAAATAAATAAAAAGATTCGCCCACTTTCTAGTAGGATAGATGGCACTCACTTCCATGAGGGGAGGAAAATCACATCAGGCTTCATTCCGACTACTGCCTCCTTTTTTTACAAGTGAAAAAATTGTGAATAAAACAGAAAGGCCTAATATGCCTCGTACTTTCATTTTAGTGGTAAATCATTAATAAAATGTGGGATTTACCTCTCCAGATTCATCGCCAAAAAATAAGGATCGGTTCGACCCAGACATGAATGACACGAATATCATGTGAGATTCTCACTTGAGTAATTTTCCCATTAATCCATTAATCCCTTTCCATTAATATTCCCTTTGGATGCTGGACCGATTTCGTATTGATAACCGAGAAGGCAGCGTTGCATCGCAACTAATCGGAATACAGCTCGCTATTTTTTTCCTGAATCGAAGAACATCTTTTCTTTGGCTTTGTGGTTACTTTTCTTTGTGGTTAAGGCAGAGGAGTTCGAAGGGGGGAAAATAACTATTCGATTTGATTCGAAATTCAAGATTCCATTCGGTTCGAAAGGAGCAATTTTCAGTTTGGATTGGGTTTAGTTTTTCAAATATCATCCTGATTAGCAATTTGGTTCAAAAATGACGGGAAATTAATTTTTAAATTCTTAATTCGTAAATTCGAGGAAATACCAATTCGGATTAAATTAGAATCTCGTAAAAAGTCGGATTAGGATATTCTAGGAGCTTCCACGTTTCCTGCAGTACTCGATGAAATAATGGTCCCAAACTTCGGCAAAGAAGCAGGGAGAAGAAGTGCCAGGGAATGCCACGCCGCCGAACCGCGAGAACCGCCTCCACCGCAGAACCAGTTATATCTGTCGATTCGCTCAGGAAACAAGGGCCGAGAAGATGAAGGTGAGGTTGGACGGTTCGACACCGATCGGATCTTACGTCCCGTTCCTCCCGATTTTTTTTTATCAAGCAAAGAGAAGGGATAAACGATTCGACGACGCAGCACGTTCGAGCTACGATGACGTCACGGAAGAGGAACATCATTTCTCCGTAGAAAGAGGATGCATTTACATTCTTTTTAATGCGGTGAAGACGATCCTCTTCGTTCTACGATCCCCGCTTTCTGCAGTCGTTCGCTCGGTCGCCGTGAAATGGCAGGATTCGAACGGAAATGGACCCCGAATGCGAACGGAAACGAAACGTAACTCGTGAGGTGAAAGGAGCCACCACAACTCCAAAATGCTTGCTTCCTCCCTTAAAAACGGATTCCTCAAAGTTTTGTCCATTACGGCCTGTATAAATATCCTCAGAGTTTGGAAAATTTTTGCTTCCGAATGCTCCGTTCCAATGGAAGGCTGGTGGGGGGGGAGACAGGCCTCGAGGAAAAACCACTCCTCCCCCGCTCTCGATTAGATGCACACGTGGACTCGTTCTCGAATAGGGCTCTGCCCTTAGGGATTTCAGCCACTATTTACCAACCGAAAGCGCTTCAAAGAACTTGAAAGCATCGTTCAAAACACACGGAGCGATCGAGAGCAAAAAATTGCGAACCGATCCCAAGGAATAAGGGGAGATTAATGCGCTCGTGCCCTACAAAATCCAAGTTTCCCTTCGTCATTGTATCGTAAACGCGATTTCCCTACCCTAAACGATCAAATAGACGCGTGGAATTTCTCTCGAAGTCTTTCCTTGCTTCCTCAAGGATCGAGTAGGGCGATTTGCAAAACTTCGCAAATATTAGCAGAGTTGGGATGCGCGTAAACTTGCGAGGATAGGGTAAGCACCCCAGTTTCTGGCCGGTCTCCAGTTCTTGGCCAGTGAGGCTTTAATCCAGCATGATTAGTTAATCTGGCCGTTTTCAATTTTCTAACATCTTCCCGTTCGAGGACCTATTACTAGCGTTTCCGGTTAACGCACAGGGTGTCCACTTCCTATGGGAGTCGTATCAGCGTGGCCAAAAACTGGGGCTTAAGTAACCAAAAACTGGAGTGTTTACCCTACACGCACTTCCCACGAGTTGTCTACCTGCACGCGAACGCACGGAGGCATGAGGACTTCTGTCTTCAACAGGATCTCACTCTTCCAGTAGAATACAATGAGAACAGAAGGAATCATTTCGGGGGAAATTTCCAGTTGCTAAGGAACCAATGAAAAAATACAGAAAGGTTGAAATCCCTTGGAGAAGGAATCGTGGGGAATCACGCCACTAAAAGCAACGATTTCAACGATCTCCTCCTTACATTCCGAGGACAAACGAAAAAATGGCATGGAAGGTGGTATGGAAAGTGGCTTGGAAGGTGGCGTCATCTTCGAGTACCCTTATTCACTCTTACTTTTTTTCCCTTTCCTCGATTCCGCAACCGTGATCTCGTGTTCTGTCGATGTCCGTCGAACAGAAAGAGCACGAGGGCCGATGGAGAAGAAATCGCAGGCGGATGAAACCACCGGGTTCACGGCTCCCATTTCTTGCCTCCGGAATCGTCTGAAATCCCAGAAAGAGATGTCATTTTGCTCTCGAAGGAAACGAGGACCGCTTCGGTCACCACGACGACGGTGAGGGGTGGGTGCCGCTTAATCCCTCCTCTCTGCGCAGGTCAATCTGGAGTGTTCTTTGGGGGCGTCAGCTCCATGTATTTTTACCCCTCATTATTTCCTATGGGAAAGGTTGGAGGGTCGAATGGGAACGCCATCAGGTTTTCCCCCCTCTATACGTCCCGTGTCGAAGCCGAACGTTCATGGGGGATGAGATAGGCCTACCCATTTCGAAGATAGATATTTTTGAAGGAGCGTATCTACTTAATGTGAATTTACTCACAGCTACACGACTTATTTCTTCTTTTTTTTTGTTCTTTTGTCCGTACGGCACGTAACCTCTGGTTAAAGCCAGTCGCGGCGTGAGGCAACCACTACATTACCCGACGGATTCCGTTCATCGACTATCCTACGAGTAAAGAAGTCCTTCGGCAACCCGAATCTCTCTTAGGATTTCCACAGCTACACTACATTCCTCTCCAGCTAACATCGACTTGGAACGATCTCCCTTGTTCTGCTTTATCGATTCCCTTAATGATGGATGAGTGGATGTTTGCTTGAGGCGCTCCCTTTCTGATCCTCCCTCGAACGAATACGATTCATACTCTTCTAAACGTCTCTCAAACGAAAGTCTTCCTTACTTTATAATTTTCGTAGCCCGCCTCTCGACCTTTCCATTGCAGTCAGCTCGCTTTCATCTGCAGGCCTCCAAGATCGAACACGATAGGGTCACATGAGTACACCAGAAAGTCAAAATGCAGAAAATAATTGGGACACCAGGGCAAAAGCATATAACAGTCTCGAGAACATTTTAAAATATTGTTACGGTACTACGGAGTTGTAGACCGATCCCGATATCGATCCCGCGGGATTATTAAAGAACACCGATCGCCAGATTTCGTAGTGCACCGTTCGCCAGCGGGATACTAGCCCAGCAAACAAGGCTATGTTGGACCAACGTTGTAAGAACGTTCCAAACGTTTATTCAATGTTGATTCAATGCTGTGTTGAAAATTGTTTGCTGGGAGGTGTTCGCCTCAGTAGACCATCCTCGGCGGGGTACTGGCGTCGGAGGTTCGGGACGCGGTGGGTCCGAGTGGGAATAAGGTCGAGGAAACTCGAGGGACAACACAATCACGCGTGTGTTTCCGGTCTTTATCGCAGATGTACACAATCGACAACCAACAGACCGCTCAGGTTCTCCATCACTCGGAGAGGCGAAATGATACGGGGATGGAAAGCGCTCCGTGGCGGTAGGCGAAGGGATCCTTGGGGGTCCCCTACGGTCGTGGAGACCTCCGTCTCGTCCATGGCGGTACTACAAGGAAAAGAGCACGTCCCTTCAAGGTGGGGAGGCTAATGATTTCGAACGAATTAATCATCTAGTCAAAGAGTTAGGAGAATAATGTTTTTGTTGTCACCCTTAGAAGGCCACTTCCCTAGTGTTCTCGAGGGGACAGGCCCAGCAGGGACCGTGAGGTCGTCCTTTAAAGGGTCCTGAGGTCCCTGGAGCTACGGACAAAAGTACTCTTACTATTTCTCTCTTTCTGAACCTAGGGTCGATAAATGCATCTAATAATAATTTTATTCCGGGTTGAACACATTAACTTTAATTATATGCACTTGTTATATTTACACACACCGGGGTTTGCTAGAGACATCTAGCGGCTGACGTGGTACTCTCGGGTCGGGGATCAATCACTCCTACCAGGGTCGCACGCCTTAGTCTCTTGACGGCTTGCCACGACAATACGGTGTGGATCCGCCTTTGGCCTTGATTACAGCATCAACCCTATGTGGTACACTTGACACTAATTTTTGACAAATCTCAACGGAAACACCTCGTCATTCCTCAAGCGGAACTGTCTCTGGTTCATTGAAGTGACCTCGTCCTCGATGGTTGGCTCCTCACACGCCTCTCCAGTTCATCCCAAAGGTGTTCAATGGTGTTCAGATCGGGGCTTTGCTACAAATTCTACAAATAGCGATATCCCTGAAGCTTCTATTAAACCGCTGCTAAGACTACTACAATGCTGCCCTGGCCTGTTATTTGTTTTTGCCTTGGTGTACCAATACTTTTGGCAACATAGTGTACCTTTGAACACCGGGAGTAATATGGCTTGGTTTAGAAGAAAACTAGTAACAAAATTAGTGGGAATTTGGGAAAACTGCGAATCTAGGATGGGCGCACACGAAATGGGATGCCAATCATGTGTCAAAAAGAAATACCAGGCGCTAGAAGTTATTCAATAGAATTGGATAACGCCGTACGCAGATAGGCGTAAAAATATTTAACCTTTAGCGTACGGATTCAAAATTTTAGGTATTTTCTCCCCGGTTGGCATTGAAATCGAGGATTTAATCGCAAGGAAACTTGCTTCTGTAAAGTTTCATCTCTTCGCGTCAATCTCCGTACGATCTTTACTGTTGATTCGTAAAATTATATTTATCCAAATGATCTATTTATCCGATGAACAACACGGATAGATCCATCATTCGGCTGTGGAGGAAAAAAATTTGTGCGGATAGATCAGTCATTAAGACGGTAAAGGTTAATCACTTACTTAGATTAATAATCGGGCGGAATCCTTAAACGGGGAGGGGTTTTCCACAAACGAAAGTCATTCACTTATCCCTTACACGTAGCAAACGCGCTTCAAGGGTATATGAACAATTATTTCACATTTCACACATTATTCGTCCCAATTCACATGTTGAGTGGGACACTGCAACGCAACCTCTTGTCCCCTTGTCCTCTTGGTCATCGTTCCAGCAAAATGTCAGAGGATAGACCTGAACACCCCTCATGCAACCTGGTACTTCTCATAAGAATCAGTCGTTTCGTTATTAAACAAGAGGTAAGTTGTTGAAGCGAAGACAGGCGTGCCAAAAGGGGGGACAATCGCCCCTCCATTTTTGAAAGTGGGGAACAAGTGATTGAGAAAGTAACGACTGACCTGGTCGTTACTTACTCAATGTCACTAAAACTGCACAACATGGTTAACTGGATTTTTTTTTAGCATTCCATAGCAGTGGGAAATACCAAACAAAATCCAGAGCTTGAGCAGATGAACCTATGTGCTTCCATGCATCTTTTACATCATCATCCTATTCTCCTCCAAAATAGGAATTTTCTGAGCCCCTGATGCAAATCCCTAAATTTATTGGTCAAGAAGATTCTTCGATTTGCGAAGGAAAGAACAAACGCTCTCAGACAAAGAATCAATATGATATATTTATGACGCCAAAGCAAAACAGCAAGGATGACACCCTTTGAAAAGCTTTCACTATGAATAAAGTGAACCCTTCCATGACTCAATGGGAAGATGTGACGGTCAGTCATGAAGCCTCATTGTTGGAAGGCAGGAGGATGCAAGGAAAAAAAGGAGTTAAAGTCAAGACGAAGGAGGAACTTGAGGAGAGGTCCCTGCGAGGAAGCCAATCGCATGAGGAGTTCAAACAGGAACCACACTCTCTTCCTGAATTCATCCTCTTTCAATCGAATTTCTTCTTTCTTCCTTCCTCTCTGGTCTTCACCTCTCACCAGCAATGAAAACTCGACGCATGCACTCAGAATCGTCTCCAAACATTCTTCCACCTGACAAACATGCAATGATTCCAGTGAAAAGTATCTTCTATACTAAAACACTGAATCAATATCAATCTCATTACTCCATCATTGAAAAAGCATGCAATGCACAGGGTATATGGCATCATTACAAGACCCATCAGAAACGGGTGCTAACAAATTGTTCTACAGTATGAAGTTGGAATAATAGAACTCACATGAGGGTTGAGGAGGAAAGCATGGGCAGACATGCCTGCAAGGGCAGATTCATGAAAATGCTTCATGTCATCATAGTCTGCAGCCTCCTGAGTGATGCCATGAAAGAGTCGGGCCATGTGAGACTCCACTACATCTGCCTGGATGTATGACTGAAGGTTCTTCACCAGGAATGTCATTCCATGCAAACACCTCCATCCTTCCATGTCCATCACCTCCCCATCATTCCTGCATGTGTAACAACATTCACTTTCTCCATTCCCAATGTCAACCAGGGCTTCTTGTACTAATACTGAACTGAACCAAAGCAGCATCAACAGAGTCCTTGGTGATAATTCAATGAATTAACTTAGCCACACTAATGAACACAGTTTCAAAACAGTGATAGGGTGAGCACCAGCAATTGAAGGACACAGCAGAAAGCTGTACAAGTTCATAACAGTTAATTAAATGCATCCATGCCTCAGGCTAGAAGGGCTTTCCTGGCCTTTTCACAGCTGTCCATAGAGAATATCAAAATGACCAAGTGCTCAGGTTTACCATCTGGTCTCCTTCTACTAATCCTTCTGTAACTAATACACTCTCCTTCCCAATGTATAGATAAGGACATCCAGACTTGAATTAGACAATCCCCCCCAACACCTCAATTGGTGAAAAATGCCACGTTCAGCAGTTAAGACATATCGCGGGTAAACCTGAATCATGTTCATTGAAATTGGTTGGGTTCCATTTACCTGCAGTCACCCACAAGTGTAAGTGCACTGCAGCTCAGCTACAAACAAGGTATACATTATGATATGGGCATTACCAACATCATGAACTACCAGGTCTATATACCTGTACTTAAAAAATGAACTGTATTACCATTAATTTGTCCTATTCATCCAGCAGAATTTCCTTGTTCCTTTTCATCCATTGTGACAAAAATATCCATTATGATATATAGCACATGTAGAATGGAAGCATTGCCTCTTCATTAAACATCATAGTTTCCTTGCAGACAAAATCTTGTTTCTATCTTCAATAACATCAACAGCTTTTTAGGACAGTGAAAGAATTCAAGGCATATATGATGGGCCACATTCTCATACATCATCACCCTTCCTTCTTGTCAACAGGTCACTTAGCAAATAATTGCTGAATGTTACAAATAATTAAATGTGTACCAGCCCATCAATTTGCAGTGTGTACCAAAAATAGTGCAGAGAATTTAATGGTGCAATCAAGAAATACAGAGCATGTAGAATAAAGTTCATATGCTCAATGATTCTAGTGTTACTTAACACCATTATAAGGAGAGATTTGCAAAAACATGTTGTATCAAGAAAAAACCATTCCAAATGTCCTACATCTCAGGCAGCATGAAGATGCATGCCCAACAGCTGCCTCTGTCACAGTGGGATGAACTCTTGGGGGAATAGCTTCATTCCTCACATATATTTCATCACAGCAATTTTTCTTGGATTATTTGCAAAAAAAAAACATTCTCCTAGAGGTATCCCCAGAGTAAATAATCTGGTGCTGACAAGTCTGAGGGTTGTCACCAAAACAGGAACTGATGCACATGGAAAATATAGTACAATATTGTACCATAATATTCCAGGCTGTAGGGCATGTTGTGCCATCCTATCAGAAACATAAATCTTTCACACAAAGGTTATTGCAATGCAGTATATGCATACTGACAGCATGATAAAGGACACTTGGAAAACATTACTTTCACATGTAAAGTGTGTGTTAAAACTCCTAACACTTGGGATTGTTATGCAGACAAACAATATACAAGAAAAAAAAAAGCTGAACAGAACTTCATTTGGTTCACCTTTTCTTCTTGTAATATACCATTAAAATCCTCAAACTACTTTTTGAATACTCTATACAAAGAGTCAAAGTGGAAACTGTTGCACCCATGTCAAAAAATGATACCATTTCATCCAGCAGGAGCATATTTACCTACCATGTGAAAAATTTGGGCAAATGAAAGAGAGAAATCTATTCTTCCTCATTTAGAAGGCATGAGAACCAAACCATAAATAAGACTTCCCAATGATGGTTAGCACATTTTTACTGCCAACAGCAGAGAGGGGAATTGCAATGAATTTATGTTAAAAATGTGTTCAAGAAAGAGATGAAAGCTTGAAAAAAAAGATTAGTCTACCTGCAAGGTGAATTAATTGAATTGACTTAAATTAAATGGTGGATTATTCAATTGCAACAAGAATCTAGTATAACAGAACAGATAATAACCGTCAAGACAAATGTTCTCATCTTTCACAGTTTCAGTTGGCTTATGAGTGATGGATAGAAGTAGTACCGCAAGCTCATGTTCATGGCCCAGGCATCCTTGATGTGGATCTGGGCCCAATGGATGCGGATGAGAAATCGGAAGAGGCGGGCATATGTCCCAAGGGCATGAGGGGTGAGAAGGAACCCACAGAGATGGTGGACATCCAACTGAGGAGCAAGAAGATCAAGGGCCAACACAGGCCCCTGCTTTGTCCTTGTATGTCCATCTCCCTCCAAGGGATCAGAGAAGACAAGTGAAAATCTCTCCAGGATGCTCTCATTCAGTCCCAGCTTCTCTCCTTCCAACTGCAGCAATAGGTTCATCTCTGTCAAAGAAAATTATTATCATTATGCATAATTTAGTCATTCCACTAGCTTATTGTTTTGTCCTCATTTTACAGACCACTGTTGGACTTACAAGAAACAAATTTAAATAAGCAAATTTATTTAAACAAATTTAAAATAAAATTTGTAATACATTATATGGAAATGAAATAAATTCACTTTCATATAATGTAGGCTATTACAAAAGAGATTGATGGGAGATCATGCTCTTTGATTATTGGAAGTGGTCCTATCACAGCAGTGTCTAATGGATATAGGGAAACCAGATGCATATAGTAGTCTGACCTCTCAGGAGATCAGGTGAAGGGGGTTGAGAGAGAAGAGGTGCAGCAGATGAGAGGAAGCCTAGGAAAAGGTCTCCACGTCCCACCAGATAGAAATCCTTCACTAGCTTCAATGTTTTCACTAATTCTCCTTCCTTCATGATCAGCTCCTGAAGGTGCTATGGGGGAATTAAAAAAAAGTTTATTGCATCAGCTATTTCTTTTTACATCATACTACCTCCATTCCAGGACTTACAAAAGATGAAGGCTCAATGAAGTAAAGTTTACCTTCATGATGACAGAGAAGATGCTATCAACAAGACGATGAAAAGCCTCATCTTGAAGCTGTGGGGAAGTTTGGGCTAGAGCAGCAAACTTCTCTTGGAATCTTTCCTGCTCCTCACAGAGCAGGGAACTCCAGACATCCTTCTCCACTGCTACGAAATTTACAAGAATTAGATGCAACTTGAAACACACACAGAAGCACACATACCACCCCACTTTCTTGATTCTAGTCCCTGAAGATCTAAGCAGTTGCAAAAGTGCAGGGCCTTGCCACAAGGTTCAGAAATGACTGGGAACAGACAAGAGGAAAGGAAAACAGAGATAGAAGAGAAAATATACCATGCGGTGCATTTGAAGCCTCGAAAAGGGAGATGGTGCGTCCAAGGAAGAGGATCTTGTCAGCAGTACTCTGAGGGACAAATGATGGGATCTGAGATGCCACCAGTGTCACATTCCCCTTCACTCCCATCCTCTCATACTCCTCTTCCCTCTCTCTCTGTGTCTCCTCTCCAGACTTCTATCCCATGAAAAAAAAATTAGAAAATACCTGAAGTCCAAGGAGTTGACATTAAAAGTTGGGAAATAAAAAAATTCAAAAATGGACAAAGCCAGCCTAATACAGGTGTTGATACCCCCACACTTTCAACGGCAGTGGAAATAGCATATAGCCCACAATAATCAATGCAACCTGGGAATAATTCTAACCAGGGTCAAATTTTATAGAGATTATTGATGGTGAAGATGTAAGATCACATATCTCTACATTTATAATTTGAAGTTATGTGGTCTTGCATCTTCACCATTGTTATGTTAAATTAACATTACCATTGAGGTAACAATAGATGATGAGTACTTGAAAAGGCTGATCATAGAGTTTAAGGAGAAAAAAAAAGGCTAATGCTTACCTGAGGAGTGACTCTACTAATTTTCTGAATGAAGAATTCCCCATTTCCATCAATCAGAATTCCATGGAGAGCCCACAAGTATGTCTGCTGGTAAAGGAGTCTCTTGCAATAACTCCCTATCCTGAGAACATGAGCAAACAGTCAAGGTCAGCACTGCAGCAGCAATAGAGATGAACTTTAGCTGACCACCTTCTCATGCTTGTGAAATATGAGCTTGCCTGAGCATTGCAGCTTCTAAGGTTGCATCTCCAGTAATGCTGTGTTCATGGATCACAGATAAAATCTTTGCACCAGGAACAACCTGAAGATTGACCTGTGTAACAGAGATTAAACAATACTGGTATGGTTACTTGTTGGGGAGAAACATTTTGAGATTTCTTCTTCAGAGAGAAAACCCTTAACAAACTAGCCCATTTCCTCAGTGCACAATTCCCCACATCATGTTCTCAATTATCACAAAGCTCTGAGAACAAAGGCAATTGCACCCCTCCTCCATCAGATAAGCACAAATACAGTCCTCATCCTATATTACTATTCCTAAATTTTGCTCGGGATAATTGCACATTATATCAAGGAGTTCTCTGAAAAAATGGCTAATGTGCAAAAAGCACAATTCAAGAAAAACAGCATAATCTCCCCAGGGCTGGTCTATGACCAATCTGAATCCACTTTTTAGTGACAAGGCATCCTAACCTGGTTCTTAAGCAAACTTATGGCTTAAACTACATTTTTTACTTCAATTACCAGAATGTAGGCAGAAACTATTTTTGCAGATACACCCTTTATTCATGCCCACAAAAATCCAAAGAAAAGTTCTAATTGTTTTCCTAGACATTCTTTCAGTTGTCACTTTCCATTTAAAAAAAATAATAATTTGCCTCAGAAAAAATATCGATAAATGCAAAAAAAACCTTTTCCTCAAAGAAAGATAAGGAAATAGGAACAAGTGGAAAAGCTTTTGTGACAGTCCTGGTCTTCTCTGTAAAAGCTCCACCACCATTTTTTTCCTTTTCCTTCAGCATCCTTCCATAGGTTTGGATGAATAGTCCCACTTTTCCCCTTTTCCTCTTTACATATGGGCCAATCTCAGGTTTATAGTTATCAGCAATCAAACATATATGTTTAAACATACTAAGTCTCCAACATGACATTTTTTTAATTTCCTAATTTCTCTCCATAAAAAGAATTGGAGCCATCACCTTCCTCATACAACTCACATCTCTGACTAGTGCAGAAAGACCCTTGAGGAAGGGAAGGAAAGGATGGAGTTGTTCTTGAATGAATGTGAGCGACAGTGATGAATCTTCCTTCATTTCTCTCTCCACTCTCACTATGGCTTTTCGATACTCCTTCAACTCCTCATCCAAGATCTCACACATGTATTGCACATATTGGCTTTTCCTCATCTCTGTTGAGTGATAAAATCAAAACATAATAGAACCATTCAGATGCAATAATTTGACGGTTGCAAATAAGCAGGATATACACCAAACTGGAAGCTTTAGAGTAAAGTAACAGTGTAACAGCAACAAAAATTAATTCATCTTGTATTCATGAACTACAAAAGTACAGAAATGGAAAGAATAATTGTTTTAATGCAAGAATATCAGGGTGTAATATCACCATATTATATCTTGCTTTTCCAACAGAGAAAATTAGCAATAGTGCCCCCAACAATGAATGTATAGAGACTAAGGCCCAAATGCTAAAACCTCCTTTTGTTAACAGTCCTTTCAGAATACATGGATTCCTGCGTTGGGGAGGGGGGGAAGCTCTTCCACACGAAGGCCCCTTTATTTCTCCTAAATTAGGTTTGTGCATTTGGGCCAGAGCATTTCAATGATGACTACAAAATCAACTTTAACTTCCACCATCACTACCTTGCAGGAAACTCACGTATGTCCCTTTGCGATTTAAGGAATTCTTGAACGTGGATGAAATGAGTACCAAGCTCCAAGAGGTCAGTCAGGACTGCCTCTTCATCCATCATAAGCATTCGCATGGAATTTCCCACCTAAAACGAGAATGCAAAAAAAAAACATGACTCATTTCTATTGACTCACAACTGCAATAAGACTCTATATGAGAAGAATACTTTGTATCAGAGAGAAGATTAGTTCAGCATTCATGGAGCCTCAACACATGAAAAATGTGGAGGCATCTCAAGGCAACTATGGCTCATCATTTACAATGTATATGTCATCATTTTAAGCAGAAAAAATGGCTGATTATTTATGCATCAAAGTCCAACAGTTTACTGAATGACTATAGCACACATCTAAAGCATTTCCTATGCATGTGTATCTAAGTCAACTGAAAAGAGGTCAAACTCTATCACAAAAGCCAGTGTTGGATAAATATGTATTTTCTTTCAATTAACCATTTAATTCAATTAACCATTAAGCAGTTAGTAAAGATTAATTAAATATAATTGGCTCAACTGGCTGTTATTTTCACACTAGGTTCAGATGCACAATACACAAGGAATGAAGGGGTCAGAATACAAATGCATGATGGAAGCAGATTTCACTAAAACAAATTCCAAGGTTTATGGAATGACACAAGAATTTTCAAAACCATAAGGGAACAGTTAACAGGCCTATGAATTGAAGGGGTCATGTCTTAACTTTTTTTTTTGTGCCAGTACTCCTAGGAACACCCTTTCATCCAATTTTCAACTAATCAATGAAGTCCCACAAACTCTCCAAAGGATGATGAGCATACAACTTGCCTAAATGTGACCCATGTCTGATTAGTGGACACAAGTAACACAGCACATGCTTACAATAATGGTATCTCATGTCATTTTCTTCAGCTACTTATGGCTGCTAGCAAAAAGACACCTCTTTCTGTCAGCACTTGACATGACCACATCATCAAAATGACATTACTCTTGGATGAGCAAATGCCAGCAGAACATAATGAACTATGAGAGCTCTGAACATCCCAGCACTGTCAAATACAAGAAGACAGAACTCCATGACAAGAACATTCTAGAGACTGAAAATGAGCAATAAATGCAACCCATCGCTTCATTGGTATGCCTGGATATGTAAGAGATTTGGAATCTACCAACACTAAAATAATTTAAGTAATGTCTATTGGCTGAGTTATGAATTGTTACCTCAAACATATCATAAAGCTTTCAGCAGCCTACTGAACACAGGCATATCTTTAAAGGCAAAGTGCTTCCTTTGTTTGTGGGATGAACTTCTGCAAACTTTTTTTTATCTATCAGCATGAAACTAGGCTGCTCTTTGTTATTGGAGATATCATGGTCATTTAAAAACTTCTTACATTATGTCATGATAGGAAATAGATGATGCACTTTATCTATTATAAGATGTTTCATATTGGAAAATGGGGAAATTCTTTATTGCCATGGGGGCACCTGGTATGAAATCAACTAAGTTGACAAATAGAGCTAGTGCATGTCATTCATTATATGACCTACTAAAAACCAAAGCAATTCAAAGTCCCATATAGCCCCAGAAGTGCATGTCACCCATTAAAGACTCTATTCCATGCACACTTGGCTTTGAGCTTAGAACTCATTGGAAAAACTTCCTGAAAACAGCACATTGGTACTATTAACATGATGAAAGCCATCACTCTGGAATATGCAACAGTCTTCATGACTTTTAGGCCTAACCTTGGACATCCTTTTTCACTACAGAAAGCCAGCTCAGCCACAACTTGGAGGCCAAGCTCTAATCTTCAGAATGTGTCAACAATTGAGAAGGTATGAGTCAGGGTATTTCCAGCTCGGTCAATAGACAATGTCTTCTTTTTATTACAATTCAATCTTTATTCCATTAGGCATAATCAATCTATTAATCTAATAGAAGTGGCAGTTGTACAATTGTATAATAATAAAAATTCCAGTGCCGTCCTTAGCCAATCTATTATTAGGGTGCTTCAGACGAAGCCAAATATGAAGTCGCTGATCGTAGTCGATTAAACATATACCTGCGATGCCCGGTCATTCATTACCTACCTTGAGTTTCCCATTCTGGACAGTGAAAATATGTCCACTGTGACCCTTCAGTGCAAACAATAGCTCATGTAGCATGCTGCCTCGTGGTAGCCTCAGGCTTCCCTAGCTCCTACTTGACTCTAGTACCCAAATCTCAAGAGGTCCTCCTTCTTTCATATCGGATATCCCTCACGCCTTCCGCAGTCCAGTCCGCGGTTTCAGGCGCCTGCCTCCATGTGAGACGCCACATACATCATGACCAGGGTTGTCAAGCCGACGGGAATAGTAGTGGGATGAATTTATGTTAAGTGAGTTGAGTTCTGTTTGGGTTCGTTCCAAATGAGTTCACGTTCGGTTCGAGTTCTGAAATACCCAAGAAATTGACTTTGAGCTTAGTTCCAGTTCACCGTAGCTCGGTTCGGGTTAGGGTTCGATTGATATTGGGTTATCGCTTTGGATTTGCAGCGAAATTAAGGACCAAGTAGCAAATTCCTGTTTACTGCCTTTTTTTTACTTGAGTCAGACTATTGCTCATGGGGAATATCCCATGCATAGGTGCCTGAGTCAAATGAAAAATTGTGACTAGTGAAAACGACTAGCTGCTCTCACCAGCGCACGCGAGAAATTGTGTTTTTCGTTTCAGGTATACCCACTGTTTCTCTTCCCGTTTACCTCCTCCAGTTTTTCCTCGTCGAAAGCTTTCAGAGACCTATCATTTGCATGAACTATGTGAAGAATCTTTGATTAACCCTTGGTTTGCATTTCGTCCACGTTTGTGGACGTTTTTAAAATTTAATTTTACAGCTTCAATTCCATACAACCTTCAGTAAAACATCACATCCATATTTGCGGGCGACATAGCTATCAGCAAAATCAGAGATGATGTGCTCTGCCGCTCTCCAGTGCCCTCTACATGTTTTCTTTCACAATTGCATTGTCTACTGACCACAAGTAGGAGTATCTACCACGGTTTAACTTAATTTTCATAAAACAATTTTTGGAATTTTTTAAATGCACTGGAATGCAATTTTGAGAGGTCGCACTTACCTCTGCAGCAACCACGAGTTCCTCATGGGCATGTTATTGGCCACTATAACTCAGCGGCGGATCCAGGGGGAGCGGGGAGGCGACCGCCCCCCCGGGCCAGGTTTGCATTTTATTTGTTTTCATTTAAAAAGCACATTCATTTACACTTCCATTTTTATTTCAACCTGTGAAATAGATGTCCAATTTTTATACCCCAGACGAAAAATGAAAAAGGATGGAGAGTAGTGGTAGATAAGAGAGGAGGTGATTGGAACTAGGGAACCGCCCCCCCCCCCCACGAAAAATGTATTTATCCCCACTGCTAAAGCTCCAAAAACTTGTTTCTCAATAAACGTGATCATCATGCATTCAAATAATCTTGGACGCCACATATGAACATCGTACTTATCCAGGGAGAGTGTTGGACAATTATTATAGTCCAAGAAAGACCACTTTTTGAAGTCGCAAAACCGCCACGTGGAAGTACTTATTTTTCCTTTTTGCTTGACGCAAGCAGCAGGGAAGGATGCAACAGGGTGCTGCTTCTCATCTCCTTGTGCTCCATGGCTTAATGACTCAGGGGTACCAATTCACTGGAACTAAAACTTCTCGTTTAAGGTCTTGCCTCTTCAAACTTCACCTACGGAGGCCTAGTACACTGGGGAGTCACATTAGGTGATGAAAGCTTGCAAATGCAGCCTATTCTTCCTATATCAACTATGTATTCATCCCGTAGTAATCAGGAAGAGTCAATAACAAGGGGAACATTGCGATATGTAGACATATCCCCAATAGGAGTATTATGATCGATATCATGACATCACGATTATCGATACCGCCTTAGAACGAGCCCAAAAGTAAAATGAGTAAGCTGAACTGTGATTATAACATTTCTAAGAAATTGAAACGCTAGAAGACTGATACTTGCCCTTACTGCAAAATGTCCACATGAGTAGATATTTTATTCCAGGATTTCTAAAAGTCTTTCTCTAATAATAAAAAATGTTTTCCATTGATTGTGTAGCTGATGTGAGAACATGTCAAAATCTCATGTCATCATTCTTTCTTGTTTGCTCTGATTCTGATGCTACAAATGGCTAAACGTTGTGAGCCTCCTTTTTTTTTATTCTGCTCTTTTTAAAGGCTATAAATCCCTCTCGGCTCTCGCTCTGATCCTCAAACTTGATGGAGAAGCCTATTTTCGATCGGAGGTCATTGTTCTGGGAGACTCCTCTCTTTCGCCTTCCAACTTCCGACGACACTTAATTTACAGTTATTCTCTTTTCCTCTTTCTTTCTTTCCAGTTCATCTCTTTTTCCTCCACCCAGTTACTCACTCGGTCATTCACCTTTCCTTGACTCTCGTGCGCCTCTAACCTAGCCTGCGGCCTCTCGAGAGGAACGGTATCGGAAAGTCGTGAAGCAGACATGATTCATCATCGAACTCTCTATCTATAGGGAATTCAAGCAAATTAGCACGAGAATTTCATCGCCGCTTTCAGCTGTGCTGAGATTCCTGGTTGAGAGAGTCATGTTCATCCGATCCCCTTCCGTCTCGTAGCACACTGATGCGCTTTTGACAAACGTGAAGCTTCTCAAGGCAGCGGGGAGCTTGTTAGCCGATTTCATGAATTATCACTTCATGCAAGTTTCCTCATCGTTTCCTCTTCCTTTTTCCTTGTCGCTGTGTCTTTGTCGCGACGTGGTTTATCTTTCTCCTCTCAACACTCATTGAAAGAAGCTCCTCTGCAGGACTGGACTTGGTCCTGCTTGATTTTTTAAAAACAGATATTCCAGCCGAATACATGAAAGAGAACACTCAATCTTGCTCTCAAAGATGCGAACAGGCGAGCGAAGAGCGACTCGATACAAGAAGAGAAATTCGTGAAAGTCGGAGAGAAAGACTTGGTCATGTTGGCAGGACAAATACGTGAGGATGAAAGAGGCAGTGGTGCTCTCACAATTGCTTGGCAATCGAAAGGATTAGGGTGATTAGAACATTGCGGGAGGCAGTGGAACTCGGTTAAGGCACAAAATCAATAGGGATGGAGGAGATTAGCTGGCAGGCTTAGGGGGCCTCGTCTGGTCTATTTCCACCTCCGACTGAAGTCTCTTCGGCAGATCTCGATAGATTGCCTCAGGCACGTGATCTGAGGAGATAAATATTTATTTGTTACCCCCCGGGAAATGATTTGAATCCAAGGTAGAACAGAGGAAAAAAGAGGCAGACCGTTGCATCGGTAGACTAGATCGGACCAGATGATCATTTCCTGCGAGAAGCAGAAGACACCAAGTCTTCCTCCTTTCAGGGTGGAATCAAAGATGTTCCCCGAATCTGCCACCAAGTTTTCGCCTTCGAAGATCCGGAGTCGAATGAGGCCGATCTTGGGTCGATGGAGGAGGAGCCACCGATAGGCTACTTTCTCCTCCCAGCCAACGTTTCGTGGGTCTTTCCACAACAGTCGCACCTGGAACGACGAAGAAATCCATCTTGCGATGCAAATCTTCGAACGAGAAAGAAGGGAAGAAGAGAAGTTGTTCGACCTGGTCGTCGGTGTTGCCAGTGTGCCAGAGGGAGTTGCGAAGCATCTGACCGGGACCGGTCTGAGACTGAACCAGCTTCAACTGAATCCCCGGTTCCGCCACCGCCCTGAAAGGTGTCGCCTGCCAATATGTTTGCGTGTTCTTCTTCCACATCACGCAGTAGAAGTGGGAGTTGTCCTGGTAACTGGAGATACATCAGGACAGATCATTGTAAAATATTCCACAGACCGATAAACCGAAGGGTGAAAGTCCACTCTTTTCGAGCTCATCTCACCTGAAGATGAATCCGACGTAATCGTCGTCGATTTCTGTGTCCACAAAGAATGTCCCCTCAAAGTCCACTCCGCCAAAACGATGGAAACCTGTCAGAATTTCAGAGAAAATCTTAAATAATAACCTTAAGATTAACTTTATCCAGTTTACAATTTTAGTCTTCGTCAGTGTTTATTTTGTCTCAACGAACATCTCTACATCCCCTGACTTTTTTCAACGATTTCCTTTCACATAACTTAATCTGTTTCAGTTATGAGCGATACTTTCGCGAATGTGCAGTATAATATTTGAAAGGTTAGCACTGTTTTGAATGGTTTCTAGGTGAAAAAGCGCAATACAGACCGACGGCCAATCCGGGATCGGAGTTCATCGTCTGAACGATCTCTGCCCCCTTGTTGTAGATGACCCAGTTGGGATCGATCTGGGAATCTCCCTCGGGATCCAACACCACCGTCTGGTATGTTCTACGCATACACCACAACCCTCAATGACCCTGACCGTTCGTACGTGCTTCAGTCGATGGATGATGGTTCATTCACCGAAAGTCTGTGGCGTAGATCTTGGAATTGTTGGGACAGTTGTCAATGAAATCCGGGACTCGATCTGCATCGAAGTCGTCTTGACAAGCGTCTCCGACTCCATTCCCTTGAAAAACGACCGGAAAAGACACCAATTAGCTCTGTTCGGTACCAATTCCTCATTCTGAAAATCCTTTGGAATGATCTCATCGTTTCGGGGACATGAGTCTCCAACCGACTTTCTACTCGTGCGTCTTGGATACCACTGGAGGCTCAGAACCTTTGCCTCAAATATTTTCTTTCTCTTCAAGAACAAGCGATGGAACGTACGGTCGAGATCGGCCTGATCCGGATTTGGGACGATCCAGCAGTTGTCCCTCTCGTTCAAGATCCCGTCGTCGTCTGCGTCCGGATCGCAAGCGTCTCCAAGCCCATCGTTATCTGCGTCGTGCTGATCGGCATTCGGGATCGTAGGGCAGTTGTCCAGGTTGTTCTGGATCCCATCTCTGCAATTCGAGATCATCCCTTCGCATCCTAACGGCATTCGCGAGTAACAAGGTAAGGGAGCGAATGGAGGACCTGTCGTTGTCGATGTTGTTGTCGCAGGCATCGCCGACGAGATCTTTGTCTACGTCCTGTTGGCCAGGATTGGGGACGTTGGGACAGTTGTCGCAACTGTCTCCCAGGCCATCCCGATCTGAATCCTTCTGAGACGGATTTGCCGTCCTCACGCAATTGTCCCTCTCGTTTGGAATCCCTACAGATTTGTTTGTAAGATTGACAAAAGAGGCAAATAAAAAAGTTTTTGTATTCGTGGGGAGTTCTACCATCGTTGTCGATGTCGGGGTCGCAAGCATCACCGATGCCATCGAGATCGAAGTCCTCCTGATCGATATTGGGGACGGTGGGGCAGTTGTCGCAGGCATCCCCAGCCTTGTCGCCGATCCCTTCCTTCTCATTGTCTTCTTGACCTGGATTCGCCACTAGCGGACAGTTGTCCTTTTGAGAGAGGGAAAACCTCTCTTCAGTCGTAAATGCGAGTCTTTGTCCTGTGTAACGTGAATGGTGATACCATCGATATAACTCACGGGTGAATTTGGGATGCCATCGTTATCGGCATCGTCGTCGCAAGCGTCTCCCAAACCGTCTTCGTCCGCGTCCTCTTGACCTGAGTTTGGCGTCAGCACGCAATTGTCCTACCCATCCATAAGCACAAAACCCAGTCAAATTCAGATTACATTATTTCATATCCTGGAGCATTTGATGTTCATATACAGTACTAATGCATGATATTTTTGTCCAGTGGACGTTTTTAAATGGTAAAAAAATTTATATTTGGAGCTAATGGAAGAAGGCCATAAATTTCAGCGATTTACCATCCATAAATAACAAGATGGAGTACCAAAACTGAAAATACCAAATTGTGCACGATGCACGAATTGTTTACGAAATCAAAACGAAAAAGGTTACGGCTATCTATATCCAATAACTTTTACTTTTTTTCTCATTTGGAATTCATGTGTCATTTTGTCACCTTATTTCTCACTCTCACAAAGTCGGTTATCGATGTCTTAGAACAAATGAAACTGATTCAACTTCTCAAATAGTGGAACTTCCTTTTCCACAAAAAATTTTAAAATCGTAGTTTTCAGTCGGTAGGGATGAGACTATCCCTTGATAAAACCCCACACCCCTCTTTGTTCAATTCCCCCCCCCCCCAATATTATGTCAGGAATTCCTTTTCTTGAAGAGTTCCATATATTTCCAAGGAGACTGACATTCTGCTGTTTCTCCCCGACAAAGGGATTTTCAAAGGGCAATTCTTCCATATCATGAAGGGAGCTTAATCAAAACGAGCGAGATCTTCATTTCCACGCCATGGAAATTTGAATACAATTCCATTTTGATTATTCTTGACCTAAGTCACCAAGAGGTGAAAGCAATGTTTCTTGCCTCATCACGAGAAACAAAGTCGATTCATGATTTTGCTTGTTTCGTCCAAGATCATTCAAAGCGTAGAAAGACTTTCTGAAAATATCGAGAAAATGCTCTACCAGATTATTATGGAACCAAGTGTTCCATTGAAAGAACAGAATCTCCTTTTTCTTGCAGGGAATTACCAAGCCGAACGGCATCCATTTCGGCTCTGTTGGGTTTCAGCCAAGAAAAAATCTTTTGGAGCTCGTCTGTCTCTTTTGTTCGACTGGGAGAGAGACTCTGTACTTTCTTATACGCAGGGTGAATTAAGGCAGTGGAGCGAGGATCCTGGGCAGACCCAAAGACTCGGCTAGATCCTGTAGAGAGAAGCAAGCTTCACGAGTTCCAGAGACGAGACTCCGGTCGCACTCATTAACCCTTCCAAACGCTGGTCTAGAACCGAAGATTCAAGAGCCGTCCTCGCTATAGAGAATGATGAGTTACTCTCCCTCAATCCGAAAATCCTACGGGTTCGGGTTCGGTCATAGAGGCCTCCATAAAATATATTATATTATTGAGGAGAGGGGGAGGTGGGCAACAAAGAAGCAAGCAACTATCCCGAGATCGCACGAGCCAATTCGCACCTGGGCGCTTTGCACCATGATAGTGGGAGGTGTGCACCGATTGCCACAATCAATAATTCTTCATCGATTGCGAATGTAGAAAGACTCACAATAGCGTCTCAAGTCGTGTGATATGCCTATCGCCGCTGTGACTCTATAGTGCAAGTGACAATACTTCTCTCTTCTCTTCAACAGCACGCAAACTTCCAGGGCCATTCTCGATCAAAATTGTTGGAGGAGTGTGTTCCTTGGGTTCTTTGCTATTTTATGCCAGAGCATATAGGTGGCAAAGGGAGGTCCTATCTCCTCCTCCGACCTCCTCAAGCCATTAAAGTTGCAGTCAAAATTACCGATCATATGTAATCCTGTGATGGCTTGATAATATCACATCTATAAGTTATTCCATTTATGTCGAACAGGGTGCGAATCAACATACCGAGCTAAAGTAGTGCTACAGAACAGATGATTCTTCACATTTGTATTGTTGGGTTACATTTGACCCACTGTGCGTATTGCTATAACCGAGTATAGCCCAGGCAGAAAACTCGAGGATTTGTTTGAAAGATGAAGTTCCAACAGCCGAGTAAGCCTTGACGTCTCCAGCCGGGAGTAGAGGTGAAACGGCAGCTCGTTTCTCAGTCTGCCGCTTACAGATAAGAGTAGGATGGATAGGAAGTAGAGAAAGTCCTGACAGTTGGGAAATCTTGTCCTGTGTAAGAAGACTGGGTAGCGTGCGCCCGGGAACCCCCGCCTACGGAAGAGGAATCGGGAGAAGGGGTCCTTTCCAACCTATCCATGAACCCTTGTCATTCTCCTAAGACTTCCTGGAATTTCTGTTCATTCTTGGGACACCCATTCGTTCGTCCTCATTAGATATCCTCCAGTAATTCACGTACGACAGAGTTACGAAACATTGGTAGGGTACTGATCTCAATCGCATTGCAAACAGCACGGTAGATCCACGAATGAGCCGATATTCGTACTCTAGATGGTTTGGAATCTGGCGCGCCATCAAGAGCGGCATCGATCCGACGTCCAGCATATGCAGCGATGCTTATTCGCAGAAGTTATGGGCTATAACCTTGCCCTGCTCGTCGGGTTGTCAGGTAATAGACCCTGTCGTACCACAGGCTTGCTTCATTGCAACTAGATGTTGAATATTCCCGTAGGTGCATTTGTTCTATGTAGCACTAACATTTAAGTATGCTCGACGCACTCATGAAATTTTGAGGATAATTCTAGTTTTCTCTGAAATTAAGTAATATTTATCTAGGAAATTCGAACAGAAGTTTATACACAATAATATTTTTCAACCCTGAAAAAAATCGCAATTTGTGGGAATTATTTTCTTTGCATGCTAGGATAAGCATTTCGAGCTTGTTCTCAAGTGCATCGAGCAGTGGTGGGCTAAGTTTACACCTGTTGTCGGAACAGTGGAAGACCCATTCAACATCGCTTTCGATATTCATGGGTTGTTTGAATTCTAAATTTATACACAATTGCTGATATCTACACCGTTAAAGAATTCTTAAAAAAAAAGAAGAAATGCAGGCTTCTTATGATGGCATGTCAAGGTAAGTAATACATGCACCACTGCGATTCATTTTACCTCGTCCCTGCGGCTGTTGGGTAAGATCATCACTGAGTTTGCGATAGAATATATTCTGCTGTATTGCTCAGCAGAATAGTCAGAGTAGGCCTTCATAATACTATTTATAATAAAAAAAAACCTGAACAGAATGTGACAAAACTTTTTTTTCTTTTGCAGACCCATTTACTGCACATTTATTAACTTTTCTTGGTATTTCTATCTGTACACCCCGTGGCGTAGCCACGATTTCGCCAAAGGGGAGATAAGGGGAAAGGAGGGGGGGCTAGAACCAAACTTTTTTGGGGGGGGAGGGGGGGAACCGTCGCTATGCCACTGATTATACCTTTCTTTTTCCAAAATTCGCATGTCTTATGGTCTGATACAAGGCAATGAAAGACAATCATTTGGATGATTTTAGAGCGTCAAGGGTGGCCACTCTGGATTGAAAGTTCATTTAAGTAATGCCACCAAGCAGTTCCAATTCAGAACCTAGAAATAAGGAACGCTTCTGCTATCAAACAATTTAACGACTTTCATGGTTCTTTTGTTTCGCCACAAGGATAGAATCGAAACATGAATGTGGAACAAACCTTGCGACACCTCATGTCGGGGCATCCAAGGTCGAAATCCGGCCATCCGTCCAAATCGGTATCAGGTCCGCAAGTCTTCCCGTCTCCGGCCCACCCTACTCGACACTGATCAGAAGGAAAGAAATTTTCAAAATAAATTGCGAATACGATACAGAGCAGAGAGCAGTTCAAAGAAGAAGAAAAAACGAGAAAGCCAGCGCTGGATGAGAGTGGAGCAAGAGAGAAGCGAAGATGCTTGGGCAATGAGTCCGAGGTGCAGGTCATGCTTCATGTTAGGCATGAGCATCACGAACCATTATTTTGCAGCTTTTTCGTACACGGTCTATACGGTATGAGGAACAAAAAAGGATTCGGAGAGTGGAGAGATGGACAAGGACGATAGAGGAGGAGACAAATTACGAGACCGTGGACGCCATAAAAATCTCGGATCCCAATCTATCCCGTCTTTGTTTCCTGTCTCTTTATGTGCTGACAAGTCCCGGAATGTCACGTTCATCACTTTCCTCCCATTTTCGCGCGGCTGAGTCATTCGGGCACTCTTCATCACAGGGTTCGACCTTTCGAGCGACTTACGGGATGCCCATCGGGCGTGGCTGTCAATGGAGACAGAGAAATCCTTAAGAACGAAGTCGCTAATAATGGAAGGAGGGGGACAATCAATCTCTCTCGATGTGTCCCCAAAGCAATACGTGAAGAGAATTAGTTTCTCTTCTACGAACCCCGCCCTCATCGGAGCGCTCCATTTCGAGGCTGCTTTAAATGCGGTTGTTTACGGCCCCGGTCCTTCCGAGTGTCGATAAGCCGGTAGAAGATACGAGTATGAGGACGGAGATGAATCTTTCCTCCTTCTTATGACCGAGTAAAAGAATAAGACCACACACGGCAAAGGAAAAAAAGGAGAAAAGGAAGAGAAAGTGTAGAGGAGTGCAACATCGTGGCCACTTTAAAGAGCCATAAAAGGAGAGTCGCCTGCGGAGTGTTGTCGTTCGTTGCCGTCTTATGGCCCTTCCGAACACCCGAACGACATGGTTTTCTCCTGTTTACTTTTATGCCTCGGTTTCGGCTCGATGAACCGCCCCGCGGATGGAATCGCCGTTACCTTGCAGGTGTACGTGGTGCGCGAGGGAGGTCGGTAGCAATCGGCGTTGGCATCGCAGAATGATCCATCGGGGCATCTGCCGGGTTGTTCGTAGCATCCTGACGTCTGGTTTCCGTAGAACCCTTCCGAGCACTCTCCGCACTTGAAGGATCCCTGCCGGAAGAGAGTTTTTCTTTTCATTTCAACTAATTCTCTTCAAGATGTTGCATGGTGCCTAGGATGAAAGACTCGAGAACGTGTTGGAGTTCAACACGTTTTCGAGTCTCTCGCACACGTTTTCCGTGTATTACGTTAGAGGAATCCCTTTCATGCCTTGTAGGAAAAGCGAGCTCCATTGTAGAACCATTCCGCAACTTCATCGACTTCACAATGGGATTATTTTAAAATACTCTGGAGTGTTAGTGTTTTTCTTCCTCTCAAATGGTAAATAAACTCTTATAGTGATGATGTGGACGAAAATAGACGTGACATAAAAGAAGTCGGGCACAATTGCGATACCTCGATATTGATGCAGATGGAATTGCGAACGCAGCCGCCGTTGTTGCCGTCCTCGCACTCATTGATGTCGTAGCATATCTGTCGTCGTATCGTCGCCTGTTCCAGGCCGATCCCCTGGTACCCGGAGCTTCCGGTGTACCCTTTCGGGCAGGGATCACACCGATAACCTGGGATCGTGTTCGTGCATCTCACTCGGGGGTCACAGGGTCTTGCCAGAAGACACTGTCAACAACAACATCAATAACAAAATTAATATATATATGATTGCTTTAAGTGTCTTCGCACTCGATATGTAAAAAGAAAATTATGGGCAAAGGTCGTTGCAAATTCATTTTCGCGTCTACTCTTATCGATATCGAGCAAAGGCTTTCTGTGGTCTCATCTCTCATCTGTAAATTCCTTATTCCCAGCTGATCATGTTATAAGTAAGAGTAACAGTTATTTCGGTCGCATGATGAAAGTCATGACCATCTATCAGTACCATTTTATCCCATTTCTTACTTTCTTAACAATTCTGTTATTCACGAACTGCCTCTTTTGAATATTTCAACATCGTAAGGGAGCTATGAATTTCGCCGAAGGAAACGTTGGTCCCAGCTTCATCCGGGATTCTCAAGGACGGTGGCATCGTAATCCGTCCGCTTCTCGGTGTCAAATAGAAAAGAAATGCCATAGTGCGATAAAAATTGGCAGATCGTTTATTGTACAAGGAAGTTATATATATAAATAATACGAATGGAAGTGCGAGAAAATAAGTCGCGATGAGGTAGAGTGATTGTTAGGGACTGGCCTCGTTTTCGTCGGCGCAAAAGGTGCCATTGCCGGTGAAGCCCCTCGGACACGGGCCACACCGATAGTAGGGAGGTGGTTCGATGTTTGTGCACGTGACCCCGGGGTAACAGGGGTTCGTGTCGCACACCGTGCTCGCCTTGCACTTCTCCCCGTCGCCCACGTACCCCGTGGGACACTTGCCGCATCGGTATCCTCCTCCCACCGTCTCGTAGCAGGGCACGCCTGCAAAACACGACTAGATTTTTCTCACCGTTCCTTTTCTGCATCCCCTGGCAAAAATTCCAATGATGAGTCCGCGAATGCGGAGCGATAAGGATTGCGAAATTGCACGTTCGATCGCAGAGCACCGCATTTATATCGGGTTCCTACGTGGATCGGAGACTCCCGTTGCGAGAACGATCCTCGTTGCTGACTTCTCAGTTTTCAAACAACTGGAAGGCTAAAAACCTCGGGATCTAACGTCTCCTGTCGACGGAAAGGGATTATGACTCTCCAAAGGGATCCATGTTAACTTTTAGGATACAGGCATATGATAATGATTTACTGTTGTTAGAATCACAAATTCGTCGCATATTCGCTTTTCTCTATCTCTTAAATTGGGATGAGTGGTGTCAGCCAAAAAAAAAAGCGGGTAGGAGTGAGGGATCATGACAACACGTTTTCTTTGAGAGCATGCCTTCTAAGAGAGGGAACTGTGATCGAAACGTATCGGAGAGAAAAGTAAGCATACCCTGTAAATTGCAACACGATTGATACTGTTAGCTGAATTCGACGTGATTCGTGTCAGAGAATCCTGAAAGGGAAGGAAGGGAGAATTAGAAAAGAAGTGCAGGTGCAGAACATCTGACCTGGATAGCAGGGTTGGTCACCACAAGTGACGTGTTTCGAACAGGATTTGCCATCGCCAGTGTATCCGAGAGGACAGGATCCACACCTGATACCATCCAGGGTGTCATAGCATGCCACCCCGGGGTAACAAGGATCCCGCACACTTCCACACGTTACCTTCTCCTCCGCTACACATCCACATGCAATGCGCTCACACACACACCACAACAAGAGCAACATGAGTTCTGTTATTCCACGCCCATGCATCCGGCTCGTTTGGCCAAGGACTTACGTTTGCAAGCCTCGCAGGACAAGATGGCATCCTTCACCGCGTTCATGTCCACTCTCTGTTGGAAATGATTGCCGAAAATCAAATAACAGCAGGAAATAGAACGAAAAAGAAGCAAGAGATATTAGTTATCCTTAATAATTTTTGATAAGAGGCATATTAAATACGAAGTATGTTTAAGCATGAAAAAAAATAAGCAAGGCAAAATTGACCATAAAAGAAAAAGTCGGACTCACGGCCTTCTGGACCTCCTGAATGAGATTCTTCATGGTGAGAATGAGTTCTTCCCCCAGTCGAGCCACGAGCTGAAGATCTGAACGAGAGATACGACAGAGCAAGCCTGGGGAATTTATTTCACACATAAGAAAAAAAGGGTGTGTTTGAGGGGGGCGTATCCTTATATTCTAATCAAATGTGAAATCGGTGTTGCCATGTCCATCAAATGCAATTTTTTTTAAACGGTCTTTCTGCACGTGTCAGAGACACCAAGGTGAACGAGGTTCCTATTCTGATAGACAGGAAAGAGCTGAAACCGATAATGAACCGGTCGAGTGGAAACTCACCTGCACTCGTGATGTCGTCCGAGAAGCTCGGGATGTCCCCTTCGCACAGAAAAGAAGAAAAACACTTGAAAGTTTGACATGATCCCCAAAATTTCACGAAGACGTCATGCTGTCCAGAGTAGGGCGGAACCCTTGAGTCATCGATTCCGCATCTTTTAGTTGGTTATATTCACAGCTTGCATCGACTACTGTACCAAAAGACGTGTTACGACGACCGTTCGAGTAGGGTAGTTCGAAGAGATCGCAAAGTCTCCTCACCCAGATTGATGTTAGAAGCGGGTAGAAAAGAGGGGAAGCCGTGCGAAGCTCTTACTGGCACTGAGTGAGAAAGCAGAAGACATTCCTCCTACTCGATACCATACACACCGACCCGGAGATTAACCTTTCGGAGGTGAGATGATGTACCTCTGCCGTAGACGTAGACGTCGTTGGCTTCGGCCTGTTCGGCTTGTTCGGCCTGGTATCCTTCGGGGACGTCATGCGATGGTAGGATTGGACATCCCAGCCGTTTCAGAACTTCTTGCGTCGACGTGTCGTTAGTCACCTTCAATTCCACTCGACGTGGAGAAAACTTTTTTCGACATAGAAAAGACAATTCCACTGGCAATATAGACTCGACCTTCATTTCAATGCGCTTGGCAACAAGAAAAGGGTAGTTAGATTCAATTGTTCTGTCTTGTCGCAGTTTTACCATTGAGTTCTCACACAGTTGCTATAAAAGCACGTTTTAATCGATTTGCACGCGGTAGCACACGAGGAGAGGTTCATTCTCAGGCGCTTTTCCTGGCTGGTCACGATGGTATTCACGTTTTCATTGGATACAAATCTATCTTCTATCACAGTGTTTCGTTTTGCAGACACAATAGATCCACGTAGTAGTGTTTTTTTTTTAATACCCGCTACTTACCATGCGTGCATTAATATCAAATATGTTTCAATTACCTTGAAGAGTGTCCTAATATACCAATTGCAAGGAAACGAGCTCTATCCCGAGCTTCTTCAGTGAAACAGTGAACCCTTTATTTTTCATTTCGTTGCTCCGAATTCTCGGAGTTCTCGGAATTCCGCGATCATGTCGAATTCCATATCGTTAGAATGCACTCTTCGTCTTCTATGATTCAGAGTACCATACGTGATGTCTTTTGCAGGAGTCTCGGCAGGATGTTTAAGGAAAGATGAATGGGCTCATCCCTCCCGCTGCTACTCGAACGCTTACTTTCTTTTTGGAATGGTTAGACTTTCATTAAGAAATTCATATGCCCCTTTACAGGACATACATTTCAATCCATGTTACGAAGAAACTTACAGTTACCATCACTGAGTCTGAGAAATATGCTAATCAAGGTCGCTCGAGTTGCTTAATTGCATACATTGACCTCCTCACCACATCTGAAAGTTGAAGAGGCGTAGGTCTATGGTCGCTTATTCCTTCCCAGCAGGGTGTTAAAAGCTGCAATGATGTTTTCTTTTTAATGCTGCGTGACATAGCTACTGCTTTCCGCACCAAATCTGGAATTTCCCTCACAGTCTTTGAGATCTTCATTATTTCCATTTTTTATATTGAAGAAAGTGGGCGAGTATCCTCTAAACGCCCATGTACCTTTCTAATTAAAATTATAATATGAACCCAGTTTGTGAGGCAAAAAATTATTATAATAAAGAAAGCACGGCAGTAGAGAATCCTGGTATTCGAGCGCAAGGATATTTCCCTTTTCATTTAAGTTTTGATTATGTGATACGAGGAAGACGATGCGGAACAGGCGGATACTCCCAAAAGGAGATGAAGACCAAAACTCGATGGGTTTGCCGGAGGAGGCAGGGGAGGAAGAAATTCCTCAGTTTCTTCCATTTAAGATAGGACAGTGACTGGATGAACAGGAAAGGGACCCGCCCATCCCTGCACTTGTCAACCCTCCTAATGAGAGTGCTAATTGACATTTAATTGATTCGCTCCGGATTCCACTATGGCGAAATCGTGGGGGAAGAGAAGAAGAACGTCTTCTTCGAGTCGTGGGAGGAAGGTGAACAACGAAGAGGGGGGGAGAGAAAACTGCTTCCAATTTGTCACACGAGGATCTCCAATTACTGCCAGGGCAACGAATCGCCAATGAACAGTGTCCTCCTCAAGTCATGTTACATGTCTCTTAAAATGACAGATTTCTCTGCAAGTCACAAGCAAGACGTATTTAGCAGGTGGATCCTGGAACCTTCTTTAAAATAATTCCTTTGTTGTCCATATGTAAGATGTCCTATGTGAATGCAGGAAAACATTTCCTTCATTTTGTTCCTCGAAAAAATTTCATGAGATGGTTGCAATTGAAGCTTGGAAAAATGAGACCTGGGAGATGCATTTGGACTCACGATGGCTATTTTGGGAGTATCCATTTTCCTCCACATGTCCCTAAGGGTCATGGGGGTCTGGATGGCGCCTTCGTCCTTGCAATCCACCCAGAGACGAAGCCTTCCATCCGGCTGGTCCTGATCCATTCTCATGAGGATCACATGAACGGAGTAGGTCGTCATTGACTCCACGTTGAACTTTTGCTTCCTCCTTCCCTCTCCTTCTTCCGTCTCGATCAAGACTGGAATTTATGGTGACGTTATCGTGAATGGAACCGAGAGGAATGCCAGATGGGGAAGGGGGGAGGGACGGGGCAAAGGGGGCATGAAAGTGCGAGGGCGGAAAGCAAAGAAAAAGTTGTGAAAAGTTTCCTGGTAGAGATGTTATCGAGGTGAAGATGAATGGACGTGGAGCTCATCATTGTATCTCTTTCGTGAGAAAATCCCTCATTCAGCACCCCAAAAAAAAAATCCCTCTCCATTTTCCAACAAAGGCCTGGACGAAGGTCACGCAAAAGCCACAAGGGTTTCGGCCCCCCCCCCCCCCTCCCCTTTTCCCGAATCCTTTCGAAATATTTCGTATTCTCGTGATCATGTCAATATTCTCCAACCCCATTTTCATGGGAGTGACGAGAGGAAACCGGTCGAACGAGACATTGCGTCACAGTCATTACATCTTACACTAATTTGCTTTCATTTTGATTTATGACTCACATCACCGTCTCCTCTCGTCTCACCTCCTTTGAAGAGCGTTTCAAAAGACTGGCATTTTCCTTTTCGAAGAGGAGAAAATTCTTTCTCCTCAATAGAGGGGGGCAATTGGATCATGGTGGGAGGTGTGACTGGAAGGTAATCCGTCTCCGTTCCGGGGACACATTCAGACGTCAAGCGGGTACCCTAGGGTGCTCACCCCGGGGAGCACCATGGACCGGGACACCCCCGATCGAAGTCTGACGACTTTCTTTCCCGTGCCGATTTTCATGCCCCGACTGTTAATGTTCTCATGCAATCATAAGTGAGGAGCGAGAAGATGGCAGACTTCTTTTCAAGGTTCTTTCGAGGAAGACGGAGAATCGTCGAGGGGAACCAGGGAAGAGGACACGTAGAATCTCCTTTGAACTTTGATCTCGTTTCCCAGGTTTCACCGGTCCCAGCTGCAAGAATAGCGTGTCTCCTTCCACCATCTTCGATATCTCCTTCGACAAACCTGCACGTAGAGGGAAGAATTCCCCGCCAAATAAGGACAAGGGATTTCCTCATTATTCAAGCATGGAGCATTATGGGAATGACACAGCAGTGGACTTCCCGCCATTTCACTCTCTCTCACACATACTCTCTCTCTCTCTCTCTGGTCACAGAAGAAGTTAAGCCTGTTTTTTCTTCTTTTTTTTTCCGTCAACACTCATGTGGAAGTGAAGTGTCTACTTGGAACCCTCTCTTTCTCCCTTCATGAATTTCACTCAAGAGCTAACTCTCATGTGTACGAAGATCTCTTCCCAAGATCGCATGGCAGAACAAACCTCTCCAGGACGGAAGACACCATATCGTCGATGATCAGACAAAAAGGACCACATATCTTGGACATTTATAGAGCAAGATCTCTCCCCTTTTTTCAGAGTAACGATTATTGAGGAATCGTGGCCTTAGAACCAGGGAGCTGACTCAGCTCCCTAGTGCAAAGGCAAATATTTCATTATCATCATTCATCTATCTGATTGGACGAATTATCACTCCTGAATATATTAAATTGCCTAGTCGCCCTTTTGTGATATCGTCGTCTACGTGAAACCATCAAGGAATCCCCCTATTGTCTGTCGTTCTTCTTGAAGAGCAGTCGTGAATCGTAAAAAAAAAGATTGATCGACTCTCTACTCTCAGCATCCCGACGAGAAATAACCAATAGGAAAGACGGATATCGACAATTTCCCCTCATTAATGAAATAAGTATTGCATTAAAAAAGGACAAGCAATCAAAGTATGGAATTACACTTTAGAATTTATTTGAGAACGTAACAATGGAAGATATTAAGCCTTCACCAAGCAACGACAACTTGTATTGAACGTAGTGTCATCAGACCTTTCTGTACTCACTCTTCCGTGAAGAGAGTATTCTTATAATGTATTGACTGTGAGGAGACTGGGAGGCTCTCGCGAAGCAGGGGAGCATTATGGCGTGTTCATACAAGACGGTGCATTAGCATGAAGTTATTAGCTATGGAATATCCTTCCCAAATACGAACATTGTGGGAGTATTTCCGCGGAATTGAGCAGACTCCTAATCCGTGATATTGCTCATCCGGACATTGGTTATCCGTGGAAAAGATATTTTCTCGAGTAACTTCCTTACGAGTCCACTAATATATATAAACCCGCCCAATGATGCCACACACAGCTGTTCATTCTCGTATAAATATTTTCTTTTTTTTTCTTTATCGGTGGACATTTTCAAATGAAATAATTTACCTCTATTAGGTGCTAGAGCTACATTTACGCAAAACTTACATAACGGCACATCCTTCTGGAGAATTTCTGGAAATCCAAGCCTTACCAAAAAAATATTTATCTTACCAATGATTTTGGATTTCAATGAGCTCTCATTAACCAAATTGCAGTCCGAAATTCTTTACTTCTTGGATTTCAATAATAGCTTTACCACTTGTCAAATCTCATCACCCAATTTTTCCGAGAATTTCCGCTACAAAAAAGGTACAACCAATCTTCCCGTTTCTGCTTAAACACAATAAGGAAGGGAAAAAAAAGGAGTGAACTATTGACCTGAGTCATGGAGAAGGGCAGGCAGAGCCAGGGTCCACGTGGCCCAAAGGCTCAAGATGAAGATGAGAGTATCCATTTCGAAGAAAGAGAATAAAAATCACACCATGACCAAAAAACTGTCCATGACTTATATGATGAAAGCGAAGAGACTATCACATGGTGTGGAGAGGAAGGAGCAGAACAGGACACGTCAGAGTTGGGAACTCGACTGGACCTCCTTCAAGCTAGTCTTCTCCTTTTTTCTCTCTCCTCCTCCCTGCTCCGTCTCCTTTTATCTCTCCTCCTTCTCTTGCGTTACCTTATTTCTTTTTTTCGGGTTATCTCACCGGACTCTGAAATATTCTGGAAACGTCGGAGGGAAGGCGGGACATCGCAGCGTCATCAGTGAGGACAGGGACACTTTTTAAATAAATTTCCTGCAAGCGATGGAAAGGAAAGGAAAATTCCGTCTGTGATATTTATCTCAACGGTTCGTATGAATATCTTGCCTTCCTCTTTCTTCCAACTTTTATTTTTTTTTGCACTTTCTTCATGGCCATCCGGTTTAATAAATATCTTTTCAATTATCGTTCTAGTTTTTAGTATAGGAGTGTAGCCATAAAAAGATCCTTCAATTTGCTCACATTTCCAAGTAGAAGGGGTGCTGAATAGGAATCTTTATCTATTGCATGTCAGAAGCCACGTGGCTTTTCCTTCTCTATATTTTACCCTTTCTCCAAACAAGAAAACACATAGAAGTCAATTTGTCTCTGCCTTCATAGTGCTCGGTTAAATTATTGGAAATATCAGCATGAGTTGCATTCTGACGCCAATGCCATTCATATCCACCGTTCCTGCTCGAAGAATAATGGATCAATCACGGAGAAGAAATTTTTTTTGCTAGAGGAAAAGGAGACCGTTAATGAGAGGACACGCGCTGGGAGAGAGAGACAGACAGACAGACAGACAGAGAGAAAGAGAGAGAGAGAGAGAGAGAGAGATGGGGAATAGACGCCGCATGAATGCAGGAATAGCCCCATCCAAACTCCGTCCTTTTCTTTATCATCCCTGGACTGAAACGTATTGTAAAGTACGTCCCCTGGCCATCCGTTCTGTAATGAAGACACCCGTGTGGGTTGTCCCCGTTGCATAAGACCCTTTGCGTCATCTTCCCCCTCCCTTACAATTTATCTACCGTACCGACTGCCGATTGTTACATCGTCTCGTTAGCTTGAATGCCGGCGTAATTGAAAGACAAAGACCCATTCCGGCCGGGAAGGATATCTCGGGAAGCCATCCCAGTCCCAAAAAATATTTTCCGCCGTGGGGAAAGATGACCTATATTCCAGGAGTAGTCACATGCGAATCCCATCATCTTGGTGAAGGAAGGAGGGGAGTAAAAAAAAAAAAAGGAAGACAAACAAAGCAAGGAAAGAACGCGTGAGAAATCTGCCTTCGGTGTTTTCTTGCGAGGCAGACACTTAATGAGTCGTCTTTCCTTGTTGACGTGCGGTCTCGGTCGGGATATTATTGATGAGGATAGCGAATGAATATCCTCGCGGGTTACCTGTCTCCACTCTCGACAGGGGTGAGCACAAGGATCCTGTTCGCCTTTTCTCTTCCTCCGTAGCACCTCATCGCTTTTCCCCCGCCCGACTTTCAGGGGTGTCATCGTCGTCTCGTGCTCTTCTGCAAACAAACCGTGCTCTCGTCGTGACGTCATGCTGGCAGCAGCAGACGACAAATATCACGTGACGTCGCCTCGCTTGCTGGCTGGGACGAAGGTGCGTGGCCGAACCGAACTGATATTTCGAACGTGTCGCAATGCGAATGAAAACGGTGAATGGTTGCACCGGCCGATACATATTGCTCCGCTTGTCTTCACCGTTGCTGGACCTCGACGACGAGAACGAGGCCCCATACACGAGGCAGCAGGAAGGCGGTAGGTATCCTGCTGATCGGGATTCATGGAGGATGGTTGGTCATCTGTTAGCTAAGACCCGATGCGAGAGGGGTTCTTACGGCGTCGTTCAGAAGAAAGGGATACCTTCACATCATTTTTCACACTTTTCCATGCCAGAAACGTCAAAGTTGACATTATTGTGTTGAAAATGTTTTGGGAATTCACATTGGTGCTCATCGGATCCTTACAATAACTTAATTTTTTTTTATAGAGGAATTCCTCGCAAAATTGTTTCTTTTCCTTATAGCAGGTCTTGTTATTGCTATTGGGGTTAGGGGGAGGAGGGGGGGGGGGGAGGGGAAGGTTTCACCATTGATTTTTTAGTTCCTCTCTCCTGTCCAAGCGAACTTTGGATGTTCTTGCAATTCTTGGCTTCAAACCTTGTTTTTTTTTCTAAAACAACAGGACTCTGTGACGGATAGCGAACACTCCTTGATAATATTTTCACAATTAGCCTGCCATTTTCTGAGATTTGGTCTAAGCCTTATCTGACGGAATCTCAAAGATCGGTGATCTACACCTGGCTACAGCAGCACATTTTGAATGAGCCGGGGGCAGGGTAGTGGAAAGGGGACTGAGGCCGGCGAAGGGGGGATTGTGGGGAAGGTGGGAGGAGGGGGGGAGATACTGAACGAAGGTTCTCAGGGGATAAAAAATCTTTCGGGTTTAGGGTCCTACAAGGGCTGCCAGGGGGAGCAGCCGCCCTCTTCCCCCCCCCTTCCTCGCCCCTCGTAAAGTACTCCACGGCCCAGCTATCGTAACATGGATAGGTCCGCATGAATCTTGCCTCCGAGAATTCCAGTGTGACTCAACCCACCTCTACGGTTCTTACCGCTCTTTTCCTGTCACATCTTGGAACTGATGGTTTAAATCAAGACCGATCATACATTTGAATCTGCATGGATAAACAATTATCCAAGTTTTGCTTTTCGTTCCATCTTCGGAGGAGACCTCAGCGGCAATCGGAAAGCTTGTCTGGAATGAGTCGCTAACAGTTTAGCTAAAGTCCATTCTGTGCAACACAGGTGCTGATACCATCTACATGTATCAGCATCGACGATCGGCTCGGAGTATGGAGGTTTCGACCGGTTTCTTCTGGAAGGAACAGAAGCTTTCCTCAGCAGAAACTGAAAGCAAGGGCGGGTGAGCGGCAAGATCAGTGGTTCGGTCCTTGGGTTCCTTGGCTCGAGACTCTGGATCGAAATGAACCCAAGTTATAGGTTTATTTCCTCGTGCTCGCCCCGGCGTCTAAGAGAAAGGAGATCCCAACCGAGCGCATCACTCCCTTCCCTAGATGTAGAACATATCGAGAAGTTCTTCAGGGATGAAGCTGAACTTCGGTACCCTCAGAGGAACCTCTCAGGCCGGGTCGAGTCTTCTAAGGTTATACAGGTCACTAGTGTCAGATGTCGTCGAGGAGGGGGAGGGGAGAGAGTTCGTTAGCGTTCTGGAGACATTCATGGGCCTCGTATCCTATCGGAGAGATGGTTCATCTCAAGAGACTCATGAGAAACCTTTTTTCAGGCAAACCCAATTTCATCTTTCCTCGCAAGTTTTAGCCAGTGACCGGTAAACGGATGCCGATACTGATCGGCATCGGTGCCAATACCGTTTCCGACTCGTATCTTTTCTGGGGATTTCGAGTGATTCATTGAAGATACAAAGCCTGACCCATTCGATGCCCCAAAGGAAGAGGTGAATAAAGTGGAAAAGTCTTTGAGGAATAAGCCATAATATCGTCAGGTGTTCGATACTTTCTTCCGAGATCTTCCGAGTTCCCATGGTGTCGTATGACAAAATGTGCGTGAGTGGACTTTTGTTCTATGAACAACAGATTTCATTTCTAAATCCTTTTTTTGTTCTCAGACTTTAGCTCTGTGTTTCGTCCTCGTGAGCCAACCTTTCTCGGATCCCGACCCCAAGCCCCTAAAAAATCCCTAAGGCACTTCGAACGCTTCTCTAGCACTCTGCTTCGACGTCCCATCCAGACTTCTTTGAACGAGACTCGACATCCAAGTCGACCGAGAGCTGCGAATGTCTCCCGTTCCCCTCTGGATGCAGGCTAGAACCCGTTGAGGATCCCTTCGGTTTCCGCACAAACGACCGTTGGGAATCCAGCATCCCTGCTTCATCGTGCACCATCGGGCTCCGATGAAGACCTAGATAGCCAAAATCGAGAACCGTTCACACGACGACAAATCCTCTTTCGTCGATGTGCTGCAGATGCTCCTCGAAGTCCTTCCATCGTGAAAACGGGAGGAAATGCAGAGAAGGCGTGCATCTACCGCATGTCTACATATTCGACGAGCAACGAAGACTCCTCTTCCGATGGCAAGATGTGGCCACATACGGCAGGACATCGAAGCCCCCAATTTGGAAACATCGCATATCGTGTTCTTGCTCTTCGTATGATTCAGAGACCGGTCTACTTTGATGCTCGGACCACGAGATCACGAGCGTCATTAGAATGGATCGTTTTCACGGTCCACCGTAGCCGCACGACGAACTCGTTTGGAGCAATGCCTTGGTTTTCGGTCGAAGCTCTTGCGGGGTCACGAGGATCCGAACGGAATACGGGACGGATGGACCCACCCGAAGACTTGCCAAAGTCAAATGCCAAACGGAGCATCCCGAGGCTTTCCATCACGATTCTACAATTTTTGCCCCTTTTCTTCTAAGCGGTCCAACAACGCGTCAGTAGATCCATATCAATGGTCGAATTTCCTTTTTTTTTTTGCTACATTTATATCAGAAGGTAGCATGCTTGTGACACTTCTTCCGATCGTGGGCAATTGCAGATTATTACACTATGAAGAGATTTGGAAAAGAAAAGTTCGGAAGCCATGCTTCAGTTTCTCCCGAAGACGTTGAGAAATTTCATCTGGATTTCCGACTTGAATCCGTCTCGGCTTCATCTCCGAGGATGCATCCACGAGGCATCGGATTCTGCTCCACATTGCCCTTAGGCTAGATTCAGGGGTGTCAAACTCGATTAGGCTGGGGGCCGGATGGATGCCTTCTGGGGTGATTAGGGGCCACAATAAAAACCTAACACCTAATCTTTAATGCAAACAGGCTGAAATGTGTACTACTTTTCCGTAACAGACTATTGAAGAGAAGGACTTCGCGGGCCGGATAAAATGGACTGGCCGGATCCGGCCTGCGGGTCGCCAGTTTGACACCCCTGGGCTCGATTTTTTGACCTTTCCAAATCCCAGGAGGATCGTGATTGTTCTCCCTGGGTGCGGGTCGATATTCAATTGTGGAATGGGCACGCTCCAAGCCTTCGCTTGG